TCGGCTTGGTTCGTTGTAGATTAGCTGAATTATTTGAACAAAAAAAGTTCTAGGAAATTCTTCACATTCTTAAAATTACTGATTTTGCTGACAGATATGACTGCTTTCATCGATGAATTTTATAAAAGCAAACTGGCAACAGTTTTGCAAATGCTAGCTAGTAATAGCCAAACAACTGGAATCATTAGCACCTAGACTGACAGGTAAATTCAAAACAAATTTCCGACGGTTATCATTGATTCTTTTAGAGGCCAAAGAACGAACCTGTTTAAAATAGTTTCAGTGATATTCCGTTATAGTCTGAGATTCTTACTGACTGATAAAAACATTAGGATTAGAAGAAAAGAAAAAAGAATGCATGACAATGCAATCATTTATAGTGGGTTTGTGTACCAGCATCGTTGTTGCAATATAAGACAAAAGATATATCAAGGAATGCAGCGGACTGGATTGGTGCCATTGGTGGTTTTAAGGAGACTACACTTTGGATAGACTGCATGCTGCTACTTATTTTTGGTGGTATCCCCTGGCAGGTTGGTTTTCATCACAGATTGGCTATTTATTTTCAGCTTCTAAATTCCATTTAGAAGCTGAAAACAACATCAAGTTTTATTTGGTTTAAAAATTAACAAAGTTACTTTTAACTTTGATTACTCTCTGCTAGTAAGTAATTAGAGAATAATCTATGATTATGCTTTTTTTCCAATTAAGTTTTTCTTTTTCCATTTATATTAAGTAGACAATAAACCATACAATTTAAGGTATATTTTCAACGAGTACTATCATCGAAATCATCGTCAGGTGCGCAAAAGTTATCATTTATAGCGGGTATCGGTTGTATTTTAATGGCTATACCACCTGCCTTAATCGGAGCTATTGCTCGGAATACTGGTTAGTATTTGATTCGTTCATTTCACTGCAGTTAGCACACGTAATCAAATACGAGAGATATAACCGTAGGCTAATTTATCGGAAAGAGACCACTTTCAATCTTCTCGTTGCTACTAGTCAGGATGTTGTTGCTCTTCAGATTGCTCCGTTTCCGCCCCAGAAATTGAGTTCATGGAAGAATAATGTAATTTAAAAAAAATTTATAGATTGGAGGTTGACCAACTACAATCCATGGAACAATGGCACAAAAAGCGAATCAATTCCTGCTGATCAGACGAACATGGTTGTGCCGCTTGTTTTTCAGTACCTGACCCCCAAATGGGTTGCATTCATTGGTAAGTTTGGTATTAAGTTTAATATTTAGGCAAATATGTCTAGATCAAATTTCACAAAAATTTTACTTTTATTGTATTTTAGTTTAGTATTTGCAGTTATGTAAAGGTTGGTAGATAAATTTCAGGACTTGGTGCAGTATCGGCTGCAGTAATGTCATCCGCTGATTCATCAGTACTTTCAGCAGCATCCATGTTCGCACACAATATATGGAAGTTAGCTATTCGGCCAAATGTAGGTTTTTCATTTTATTTCATTAAGAAAATACAACCACATAAAAAGGGCTTTTTCCAGGCTCATGAAGAAGAAGTGATCTGTGTGATGCGTACTGCAATTATTGCTGTTGGATTTTGTGCAACCTTAATGGCACTCACAATAAATAGTATTTACGGTTTATGGTACCTGTGTGCAGATCTTGTTTACGTTATACTTTTTCCACAACTCGTTTGTGTTGTATATTTCAAGCATTCAAATACTTACGGATCCATCAGTGGTTATATCGGTAGGTTTCAATTGCTGCTGTAGCTTATTTGTTTGGATGATAATGAAAAGAAACATACTGAATTTTAGCCTCGTGAGCCCAGTATCTAGCAAGTTTCTCGAAATTAATTATGTAACATTAACTAAGCTTCTAGAAATTAGATAAATCAATGTGCTACACATTTCGTGTAAATTAGGGATTCCAACACGTTTGTGATGTACGGTCTAAATATTCTTACATTTGCAGTGGGACTACTGCTAAGGTTGTCTGGAGGTGAGCCACTCCTTTCTTTTCCCGCATTTATCCATTATCCTATGTACGAAGAAGTAACCGAGGAAGATGGTACGATATTAGGAACTCAGTTCTTCCCGTTCCGAACAATGGCCATGCTGAGCTCATTCATCGCTTGCATTGGCACTTCTTACCTTTCCGAATATTTATTCGCAAATGGTTAGTTTCATCTTTGGAAAAAATCCGTAATATTTTCCCAACACGATTTAGCTGGTTCATTGAAACCGTTTGCAAAACTTCAAATGACGTAATTTAAAAGTGTTCAATACTCAGAACTAGATCTCGGGAAAGCTGGGCCTGCTTGGGGGGTCCTAGCTGTTTAATTATTTTAACTTGGCAATTTTCCATTTTGTCGCCTGAAAATTTGAATCAGACAATTTACATCTTAGAGTGTTACAAACTAACAAAATCTACATATTTTGATTTTACTAACTGTTGAAATTTTAGGAATATTACCAATCGAAATGGATTTCTTAAAATGCATCGTCAATATACCATCCGAACGTATTGCGCTGCATTCAGATGTCAGCTTTAGCGTGAGCAGTGAAACACTAAACACACAAAAGCCAAAAGATTCAGGTGACAATTATACCAGAAGAAACTTTCTGAAACCGCTTGATGCGTCAACGATCACTGAGCTAAGTACGCTGCAATCTTCCACTAACAAAGATTACCTAACACTGAGTAAAGATATATAAGATTACCGACACGGAAAACCTAAGCCATTCACCACCATTCAACGAAGAAATCTTTGAGAGCAAGGATATAGCCATCCGCCAATCAAATACCGATTACATTAGGATAAACGTCCCTAACTTGACCGCATCACCTGAAAATATCGGTAAAGAAGGACATGCGGACACAACTTTATTTCTTAGCTGTCATCGAATACTCCCTCTAAGATTCTAATCTCAGTTGGCTTGAACCCCAAAACCATGCAGACTCCCAAAACACCTGATCCAAATAACGGGATGTATTTAGTCATCTCCCTGCACCAGAATTTACCAGTCCTTCCGTTCCATCTTTATAGTTTAGTTCCTACTAGCGTTATTTAAAATGACTAAGCTTGTTTGACATTGTAACTAAAATGATTGAAAAACTTTTAGAAAACATAAAACAAGGTTCATGGACCAGTGATTTTGCCATGATACCCTTTGATTCTGATTATATCGCGTAATACAAATTATCATTAAATGCCTTCTTCATTGTTTACTTGTTGCAGAACACTAATTAGGATTTATTCAGGATTCACAACCTCATATAATAACAGTGGAGAAAAAGAATATAATCACAAAACACTTCAATTTAGAGAGAAATAGGTACTTTTGTAACTAATAATAAATAAGGCATTGCAAGGGTAGCAAATCCCTAGAATTATGTCTACTAAAGCGCACAAATGAAATATGGAAGGCAACGTTTCCAATTTTTAATCGGTTATACATTCATATTAAACCAATTAAAATTTAGAGATGATTCATTTTTAGAGAATTATACTATCGATCAGTTTCTGCTCATTGCCAACTCATTCCTGCATGACTTAAGCATATTTTCCTTCTTCGTACCATCGGTTCTCTATCCGAACCTAACACGAAATACTTGACATGTTCTATAAAATTTTCGACGTTCTATACAATTACCTCAAATATTTGTACTTACAACTTTTCCGCTAGCACTCACTAATCACATTGTATTTCTTTATCTATCCATAAAGACGAATATGAGAATATATTTTGCTGAAATAATTTTGATTCACTAAGACTTAATTCATTATCAATAATTTAGAAGAACCAGTTATACCCAACCCTCAAAATGCTTTAATTTATATATAAACCAGTTATACCCAACCCTCAAAATGCTTTAATTTCCTAGACCTCGAATGTAGTATATAGTATTAACAGAAAATAAGAAAAAGAACATCACAACCATTAATAATGCATATATTTACAGAGAACATGAGCAAATGAATGAGAGAAATACTTTTAAAAAAGTATTCCAGAAGCATAGAAATTCCATTAAATCAGAAAAATAACCTGTGAGAAACCTAAATGTTCAACACGTCATAAACGTCACAACGGTGCAAGACATTCCTGAAAATTTTCGCGAACAAGAAATGAATTTTACATTACCTAAAGTAACCAATCGAAGGCAAAAAACACAGGAAAGTGGGTCACACAGACTTCACATTGATTAAATAAAATAATGTTGGATGAAATTAAAACATTAACGCCTTTAACAATCCGCACGCACATACCCGCCTCAACTCCCAAGGTAACCGATTAGTGATTGAAGATAAGTTTAGTATTCCCAAATTGCTTTTTTCTCTTTTTAGATCCAAATCCCAATATTACAATCCTAAAGAGATCTGGCCTTATGATATTATCAGTCAAAAGCAAAAACAAGATCAAACACACAGTTGGACAATTACAGGAAAATTAATATAATGAACTAATTGAAAACAAACAACTTCGCAAAGGATCATTTAATTCATTCCTGATAAGAAAAACGAAGAAAATTCAATATGGAGGAAACTTTTCATGGAACAAATATTTATAATAATCTCGAGCAAGCAGGAAAAGTAGCTAAAATTAGGCTCTGTATTGTAAAAAATCGACAAAAAAATGACAAGAAGCATTAATCCCTTACATGCTTTCGTCAAAAAAGCAAGGGAATAAATAACACTAAATTACAAAAACTAATAAAAATTATGACTTTGCCAAATAGTTCACCTAACCACACTACTATTTACTACCTTTATTTGAGCATGACATGTATGTTCCACGTTTTTTGCTGCAAAAATTGTCATAGCACTATTTTCTAAAATACTTTCCACTGTAAATTATTATCAGCAAAAAAGATTTTGCAACGATGAAATGAAAACTAGAGAAAAAAAGTATCGTTTTCGTGGTTTAAAATTTTTCTGGAACTAAGCAAATGGAATTCAAGCTAAACAATGTTAGCATATTCCAAGTAATTAACTGTACACATTAACCTGATGTCAGAACATTCAATTATCAGGATCAGCTTCACCACTTGTGCGACTGACTGGATATATTGCAGGGTGACCACGCAACTTTTCATTTGAACTTCCAGCACTTCCTAGATTTTCATCGCCTTTCGTCTAAAAAGGAATGTGGGCCTAGCGGAAAGGAGCAATAAAAACACCAAATAGGGATATATGGAGTGAAATCGAAACAAATAAGCAATATTTTCCGTCACGAAATTTAGAATAAAAATGCAGATAAATTACACTTTTCGGCAACATATTCGATTCTTCTGGCTGATCAACAATCACTAAGGTACTTCTATTTGCTTCATGTTCTGCATCACTTTCTTCGATATCTCCTTCCTGAATAGTTAGGATCAGTTCACCACTAGTTCAAACATGATACTTCAATAAAAGAAACCCTTAATGTGATCCATTATAATACTTCAAAGTATAGAAACAACAATATACCTCTTCAAATCTTTTTGGTTTATATTTGCCACAGCAGAAATTGCAACAACAGTTGCAACAAAACATGCAACCGCAACAAAAAAAGAAACAGCAACATGTCGAAAGCCCACAAATGATAAATAACCACTGCAAAAGGTATAACAAATCTTTGACATGAGTTATTTGACATGAGAAATTCCATATATTTGTTTGCATACGCTTTAATTTTCTAACTAAGTCTCGTCGATGAATGTCGTACTCGTGTTGGTATGAGACAAACTTTCTCATATCTCAGGCATATAACAACACAGACAGATGGAAAATAAATCATAGTGTTTCAAAATACTTTGCTTACTGCCAAATAAGCGCTGGTAACTACGAGCATATTACTATTTTATTAACAAACTACATTTTTTTTCTTTGGAATAAGTCCAACCTTAAACCAGGGCTTGAAAGCCAAACCGATCATAGCACCATCGTCACCGAACTGTTCCATCAACTTCAGACCCATGTCTCCATATTCATCATATACTTTACGTCTTGTTGGTACCGAAAGCACAGCGTGTGCATGATTGATTTCTTTAAACTAAAGAGTAACGAAAATTAATCATAACTTTTGATTAGGAGTAATTTGTCGCAAAAAAAAACAGTTTTTTTTATTATACTTCAACACTCGTCTGTAAATATTACATCAAATTAAACTCTAAGCGGCTGAATTTTCCATATGTCATTCTTAGTGAAATCAAGTTAAAATGGTCAAAACCAACATATTCAGTTTTCTCCAGATCATTCTCCAAATTTTTGTCAGGATGATATTTCAAGGCTAGTTTCCTGTAAGCGCGTTTGATATCATCATCCGACGCATCCTTTGTAATACCCAGAATTTCGTACAAGCTAGGCCCTTTTACTCTAGAATCAATGTGATTAGCAATATGTGGAGGGGTTTTAGAATAAACCAATTCAAATTATTATATTTTAAGGAAAATTTTAACATACTTTCTTTGTTTTAAATTTGACCCTCCTTGCGGACCAGATTCGCCCGAGTCGGGTGATACCATCTCTGCTATAAATACCATAAATAATCACGTCATTTACATTATCTGTATATCTAAAGTACGCAGAGAAACTCGAGCACTCAAAGTAGCCTCTTGTTTGAAGTTATTTGAATCGTTTACCAACCTTACACGCAAAGTAAGCTTCTTGTATTAGCTTGAATCGCTTATAAATCTATGCATTAATAAAACGATCATTTTAATGAAATGAACAAGTACAACAGAACAAGAAAATGTTGATAATTTGACTCATTCCTCGGTCAAGTTATCAACATTTTCTTGTTATAAGTTGAAGAATGACATTGTGAACTCCCTTCATAAGATTTATGCAGAGAAACCTCTAATGGGAGAACTTGAATCGGTCTCATGATGTCAACATATCACGGTGACACAAACGATAGGTGAAAGTATAAGGGAAACCACTCACTGCTCACTCACCCTAACTCACAAAAAAATGCGGCTCCGTTACGTTAAGACATCGTTACGGTGATAGTTATTAAGGACATGTGTGTATGTTCGCGTATGACAGTTTTTTCTATAGTTTTCTTTCCGTTTTAATTTAGCTAAGTGAAAATTAAATTTGAATTTAAAAATTCCACAAAATAATCTAGTAATAATCATCAGTGAATATTGATTACAAAAGAGAACATAAAAGCAAATAAAACTGATCATAAAGTTAAGGAAAACAATTCATCAACTAACTCACAGGAAGATGGCAAACTCGTCGGAAATCACCAGTGGATAAGACCGGTTTTGTGCATTAGTAAAGAGAAAAAAGCTTTTTATTAAACTGTTAAAGCTTTTGTAGATTTCGGCAAAGTTTAGATAGTTTACATTTCACTGACATACCAGAACAATTCCTCTGGAAAATTGAATTTAAATTTCTTTTCTTTATTTTTTCTGTCCTAAAGTAATCTGTCTCACTGATTGATTTTCATTCAATAAATTATAATTTCAATTGAAGAAATCCAAGGTGATGTTTCAAGAAGCTTAGAGTCCCTGACATGTCTAAATTGTCTTAATTGGATATTTTACTTATTATTAAAATGATGATTTCATATTGTTATTTATTGGATATTTCAAGGTCATCTTTACTTTGGGCAATTGAATGTGCTGTTGAATTGTATTACCAAATCTCATCAGGATCATCAAGCCGATCACATCTTTTATTTAATCTGCCTAATGATTAATGATCGATCAACCTATCAGGCGTTTGTTCACTTCAATTAAAGCACCTAGGACCTATTCATTGATACTGCCTAGCTGTTATCATTTACCTGTCAAGATAAGGTATTGAAATGAGAAGACGTTGTACATTAACCAAAATTTTGTCCATTAAAATTAAAAAGGGAAAGAAACTACCATAGGAGACTTGAATAAAAACATTAAAAGTAGAAAATGGACTTTTTTAAGAAATAGAAAGGGAATAGTGAATCATTGTACTTTCACTTTTTTCTGTTCACAATTTCTAAAATTCGGAAATGATAGTGGGCTGATGAAAAAAAAGAACTTGCCAGAACTGGACGGCACTGATAAGAGCTCATTTGTAATAATCGATCAATGCAAAGTATTTTAAGTATTACATAATTCATAAAAAAATTATTATGAAAGAAATAAAGTTGAATGGATAGTGAATATATTTCGAAACATGGTCAGAATCTTCGAAAATTGTCGTAAATTAATTTGCAGCAATTTAACAATCAATTTATTTTAATAATTCTTGACAACAAAATTTCCCAAAAAGGATGGGAATGGTTGACATAGGACATTTAATTACCTAATATTCAGCAAGGTTAAAATAATATTTTGCAACTGATTGATTAATAGAATAATACATTATCTATTAATCCAATTTCTTGCACTTTTGAGAGCAATATGGGAAAAAGAGACATTGAGAGATGATGTACCATAGGTGAATACAATGAGAGGAGTACCATAGGTGAATACAATGACAGGGGAACTTAAAAATGGGATCCAAATAATGGAAATATTAATTTAATGAATTCATACAATTTTTTCTATCGAAATTAGAAAAAGAAAGAAAGAGAGCAAGAGGAAAAAGTGGAAGCTAAGAGAGGGAAAAGAGAAACATTCGCTTATACAGTTAGAAACAAAAACGGTTTTCTCATAAAGTTATGGGAAGAAGTGCGATTAGAGGGGTGGTGATGTAATAATGTACCTTGTTACAATGTGCGATTTATTGCTGCGCATGAATAAATAAATATATAAATAAATAAATAAATAAATATATATATATATATATATATATATGAAGGCAGTTAAATTTGCAAGATTTCTCGAATTTAAGTTTAATGTAATTCATGAAAGAAACACTGAGTGAGTGAGGTAAGTGATGGACAGAAATGGTAAAATTAATTAAAATGATTTTGAAACGTATTATGAATTCATTTTAATATCTTATTTAAAAATTTTCCTTTTAAACAAAGGCTACAAACCATAACCATATCACTCATATGATGAGATAGGAATGTGATATCATCTGAACTACTGGAGGGAGACATTAGCGCGCTAACCTTATAAACCAATTTGAGCAAGAGTCTTTTTTCCTTTCCTTTTTCATTTCAATAATGTTATATGAAGAGCCAGTCTGTTTTATTTGTACTACTTTCTTATTTTAATTTTAGCATTGTGGAAAAGAACTTATTGCGCAAGATATCTTTATCATCTTATCTCCTCTCTTGCTTATCTTCATTAATCTTCTTCCTATCCTTTTTCCCTTTCTTCTCAAATATGAAGAATTAAATGATCTTAATGATAAAAGTCATTAAAACTATGTGAGAAGGACTTTCTTCGCAATAATATTTTTTTTAATTAAATAACTTCATAATTTGCATGTATTTTATAAATTCAGTTTGCTTTTGAATGATGTGGAATTGGCAGCATCTGAGGAGCTCAAATATGGCATAACAATCTTGAAGCAATCAATCAGAGAAGTTACTACATATAATAGTCGATTAAAACTTGGTCTAATCTACACCATTAAGTGACTAAACAGCTGACACAAGGATCCATTCATTTTCCCATGATAGGCTGTATCCGGCGTGTAAGATGCTATTTCCTGCAGTTGTACTACACTAAATGCAAAGCCGCATGTGCAATAGCAAGCGACTGCGTGTAATCTACCTTTTGGAATAAATAAACGAATTCGGTTTGAAAATATTTTTTTCCTGCTTTGGTTTAACATTTGACAAATAGCCCCTGTTGAAATTCTTAGAAAATAAAAGTTTCTGAAATAATATCCTTGCCAATACATATGTTTCTAATTTGCTGTTTTCTTGTTTACTAATATTTATTTTGAAAAAACAGTTTTTTTTTTCAAAAGTTTTAAACATTAATGATCAAAAGGCAATATCAATGAAGGCATTTCATTATCATCACCATCTTCACTTTCCGTCAATTCGACGTCGTCTATTATAATGCATCTTTTATGCATGTTTTTTTTTTCAAATTTGATCATAAAAATGAGGTATCAACTTCGATTATTCTCGTATGCTATCATCAAATGATCATTTCATCTCAAACCACTACTGAATCCTTTTAAATACATATTGATATTTGGATAAATATAAACACTCAGATATATCAGAAATAACAAAATCTTTTCTGCCAAAATTAACCATCCTAGGTAGACAGCTGTTAATTTCATTGAAAAATCATTCAAAGATTATTATAATGGAGAAGAAATTGATATTGCTAGGCTTAATTCGTTTACTTGAGCATATTTTTTTAATGTTTTATAATTATTTACAATTTAATGAATATTAGCAGAGGTTAAGAAATAAAGATGGCATATGTACCAAAGTCCCAGATCATTGAAGCTAGACCCTTCAACCTTTCAAATCTGTCCTCTTAATTCTTTGCTAAAATTCCATAAATTCGACAAAAGCCGTAAGAGATTAGTAATCAATATTTAGGTTCAGGATTAATCACAGCAAGTTCCCTCATAAGATTTCAGATGTTGGCGGAAGGTAACAGACGATGGGATGTCGTACATGTGTGCACTAATTTCCTTTGTTTAAGCTTGTGGGCGCATTTGTCATCGGCCAACTTATATCACTATTTCGAAAAGCCAAATCGGGAAGCGGAGTATGACTGCAACGCAACCGGAACGGAAGTTCATTCCACAAGCGAGAATAGCTGACAAACAGATGTCAGCTTTTAATAAATACTTGCATTAATATTATCAAATTCTTGGAATCGTAATTAAGTTCTCAATAAATAATAATATTTTAGGAACAGAAATCATATGCTATTTCCTGTCGCGAGCAAATTTCAGATTTAAAATTTAGTTTTGACAGATAGGTGATGTTATCGAAAGTGTTTTAACTATTGAGAGGTTTTCGATGTCTGCGTCTGCATGGTAATCAAGCCTTATTGATTGTACTTTAATTTGCCCATTAAAATGTTTTAAATGTTCCCAAGTATTGGTTGATACAACTTCATCATAGTTGGATCTCACGAATGCTGTGTATTTTGTCAATCGTCGAAATATTCTGTTTGACTTGCCCACTAATTAAATTAGTCCTCCCGAAGTTCAATTAACTTAAAAAGTCCTCGTTTGAAATTGAAAAGCACCTTATTTTATGACGACACTACCCAGCCGTAGATGCGATGTTTTTTAGGTAGAATTTCATGAGAACATTCCACATATCTTTCGTTTGTTCGCTATTAGAATTTTTTAACTAATAACTTATCAGCTTTAACTCTGCACATTAAACTTGAGCATATTCCATTGAACCTCAATTTTCGACTTAAGAGTAAACACTAAGTTTTGACTGTTTTATGAAAACGGGAAAACACGGCGGTGTGTTCAAGAATTTAGTCCTCGGCCAGTACCTTCAAAACTGATTCAAAATATTATCAAATCAGCAGGTCAATCATCAAAATTGAAATTAACCGTTTTTTTAAATATCGCGAAGACAATTAATATGTAAAAGAAAGCAATCGATTTTTATAAGTATGAATGGATTGATTGAAATTTTAAAATTCAAGGAACTCGGCAGTATTTGGTTGGATTCGCTGACATATTTGAGAGAATTTTTTAAGTATGGCACTGAGCGTAGGCAATTTGCAACCATGGATGTTTTGCGTAATCAGTAACTGTGGGCTGAAAGTTTAGATAAGAAAGATTGTTGAAGAGGAAGAGCGAAGCACTTACAACAAAAACTTTTTCGAAACTTATAAAATTGCTTAACTTTTAAATTTTGAAAAACACGAAATTAATTTTGAATCCACAAAAAAAAATTCATAAGAAGTCTAATGGATTTCGCATATCTGCATAATCAGAAATCAAAATTTCTGTTCTCCGTATGACACTGATGAAATTCGAACAGTAGCAAATCAGTGAAATCATTTTGATAAAGACATCGAAGTTCACGTTTGGTAGAAAAAAACGTTCAATGTTCAGTTTAAATTATTAATGGCTGGATTTATATTCATTATATATTATCGAGAGAGTTATGATATCACTCAGTGATAAGAGTATTTTTATTCAGGATGGAAGCTGATTGCGTGCCGGATGTAGCAGAACAAAAAATTTTATGATCCAAACCATATCTTACTGAAGCTCCTCATCTCATTGTGGTCATGAAACAAGAATTTGCAATTTGTTTCGCTTTATTTGAAAACATAAAATTAATGTTCTCATGTCAAGAAGTGTTGGTAAAGTTAATTCGACTTCGACTAAGATGACATGGTAAAAGTGCCTTGGTAATAGAATGCAGAGAAAATTTTGAATTTAAATTTCTTTTACAACAATATTTTATTTGAGAAATCCAAATGTATCCAAATTTTGTGTCGTAATGTTAACTACTTTAAATTATCAAATAACTAAATTTGATTGATTTTGCAAAGTTATTAGGTATCTCAATTAGTTAGTTACTTGAATTTCAGGCTCAAATTCCATCAATGGTTGAAATGAGTGAACTTCATCACATTACAATCAAATAAGTCTCAGGATAACGTTGACATTTTAATCGCCGCATTTAGGTCACTTGTTAATTTTTATACAAAGAAATTGCTTCGGTCTAGTTTATCTCGTCTATCCTTCCTTTCTAATTACCTTTTGGAAGTTGTGACATCTGCTAGACAACTCCTTCAATTTGATGCTAACAATGACTTCAATTACTGAACATTTTTAGGCAAACGAAAAATATTCCCAGGATGCGAGGCTATCCACTTCAATCACATGTCCACTATACGGCAATGAGAAAATTCAAAAACATCTGAAAGATCATCGAACGAGAAGGTTTTTCCTTTTTTACCGATTGGATTTCCACTAAAATTCCATTGTACTTGTCCTCAAACGTAAATTCGTTGAAGAAATAATTGATATTATGCACAGCGGTTTTATTTTCCTGTAAGAATCTAAAAATGCGACTGTGCATGATCTTAAAATTCGTTTCGTATTTTCTGAATGTAACAATGAGTATATATGGTGAAAATGATAAGGTGAAGAAAACGGTACAATGAGGGAAATTTTCAAAAATTGTTTCTATATCCAACTGTTTCATATCGGAATTAATGTTAATTAAAAGAAAAACAATTGATTTTGCATTCTGAAGTGTGAAGTTATTTGTTGTATATCTGAAGATATTTATTCTATCTCCAAATTATCGGTAATGAATTAAAGGGAATAGTTAAGCGACAACACTCTATTGCCTATTGTACATATCTATGCCACAAACGACAAAGATTAGTACTCCGAATATTCGCGCAATTTTAATTATTTTAATGAGAAGACATTGATTTGCAAAATCTTTTGGGTGAATCCTATCCACAGTTTCTTCTGAATAATTCGAAAGATTAATACAATAAATATTAATGCAAATAGAGTGTCGCAAAGTTATTGCTTGGGTTTTAATGCTCGAAGCATGAGCTTATCAATCTTAAGAATTTGAATTTTCTTAGTTAACTATTATTAGATGATTGCTCGTATTAATGATCTTTTTTGCTGAGCAATACGAAATATGTAAACTGACAGATGAAATCATCCGTCCTATTTCAAAGAGTATTTTCTAAGATTGATTGATAGTTCTACTTAATGTTGAAAATGCTCAATACGTACATCTCGGAACAATTTTCAAGCGTACTATCGCCGGCAAACTGTTGAGTAGTTGACGAAGGTTGTTTAATACAACCACTCACCTTTTCATTATCTATGCCATACTTACTTCCTATATATTCTACTCACTTTCGAAATTTAAAAATTTTCATTCCTGATTTATTTCATATAGATTTCTATCGCCTAAAATTACCCGCTCCATATAGAAATTAGTGCAACTTTGAGCAAATTGGTCAAATTATTTCCATCTATCAAAAATATTATAAATGGCACTTCCGTTGCAGTTAAGAAGACTAACATTTCTATTTTAATGCTTTAGCTTTTGTCAAAAAGGTTAACTGGATCGCTATGGTACCATGACGAATTCCGGTCATCTATTCAAAAGATTGCCATCAATATTTCACTGATATGCAATAGGCTTGTTTACGTTTACACACGTATTTTTTCTTGTTAGCTTGCTCTTACGTAACTCCTGGAATCACGACCAACATCAATTTTACCACACAAACATAAAATTTAAAACTTAATAACTGCAACAAGAAGCTAACTAGGTAAGGAGACAGAGGAATTGTTTTCTTTCAATTTTTCCTGTAACTTTTGCCAACTTTCTCTAAGTAATCACGACACTTTCGTAGTAATAAAAATATTCACCGGTACCACAGTAAGTCCAAGTCATTCAGTGGACACATGCACCGACATATAGTACTGTTGTAATTTATATCGTATCACCACCATTTCTCCTTTTCTCCTTGGTGATACTGTTGAACTCACATTTATTAACTGAGGAAGTCATTTTCTCTCTATTTAAGCTTTTATAACATTCATTTAAGACTGAAATTGTAAATTTCTATTTTTAAATTCAGTACAAAGTTCACGGATTCTAGCATCACGGTGTATGTCCGTTTGCCAGGAAACATCCATTCCATCATGTTCATTCAGCAGTTTGAGTAGTACTGATTTCGCAGTATTCCTTTTACGATTGCTTAATCCCTTTTTATTTTTAAAAATTCAATTTTATAATAAATAGCATAAAATATACATGAAGATATTATAAGGTAATTCATTCTCAATTTATGGTTTCAAGAAATCACTCATTCTTTTCTTTCATATCCTTTATCCTCTCGTTGTTCAACAAATTTTGGAAAGAAATGGATAGACACTGTTTGTTTGTTTTTTTTTTGCTTGTTTATTGCATTATTTGTTACAGCTGTTAACTCATTTTCACCTTATCAGCTCGATTTGGAAGCGTGAAGTTTTATATTCAAAAAGAGATGTAAAACACCTACAAAAAAAAAACGAAATTTATTTCTTTCTTTCATTATCGTGACGGGACAGAATCTGACGGAGTGGTTATTCATGCGTTGCAAATGCAAAATCGGTTCAGAATGTTTGAAATTCGAAAGTTTCATCTTTACCACAGAGTACAATGCAATGAAACTTTCAAGTTGGCAACCTTGCAGCTAGGAAAATGGTTGCAAAGAAAGTTGACTTCTGTTGATTTGTTTATCGTACAAATGATTCATTTTTGTTTTGTTCTATGAAGTCTTTTCACATTAGCTTTTGTTTGTTCATATTGTGGTTGTTTTCCATGTCATTCCTCCTCTGAATTTTTTTTTTGTAATTATAAATCAAAAAAAGAAATATATAGATTAATAAAAGTAGCAACGGACGGTGTTGAACAATCAACAGATCATGAATGATAGTTAGTAGTGCAGTAACAGAAAAATGCAGGAGAATTGATCGATTTTTGCAAAGACATTTTTCAACCAGCAAATTTTTAAATAAACGGGATCCGTGAATGGGTGGCCTGCTTTTTACCCTATTTCGCCAACTGATTTACAGTCGCCATAACGTAACTATTAATCCTATTACTAATATTCCAATATTCATTATTGCCTAGTTTGTTATTTAAATCACGAATAACCTAAGCGAAAAGTTTAGTGTTAACGATGTTTTGGAAATTGAAGGTTATTCTGGGTTTTGTCCCATTTGTAGTATATCATTGCCAACGGAAACGTCATTTGAAAAGACAACCTTATTATTCTTAACGTTCAACTGTTCATTTCTTTACACCGTAACAAAGTTATAAGAGTTGTCATTTCTTGCAACTTTGTTACAGTGAATTTTGACGGAAGTTATGTAAATAGGTGGTTCACCGTAAATGATCTTCACCGAATATTCAAGTTGAGGGAAGAAGGAGGGATAATTAATGATTCTCGAACTTGCCGTGTTAAACAGTTAGGAGAGAGTATCAGCAAGGAAAGTTGCAACGACTTCAAAGGTGACAAAGTCACCGCACCTTTTCCTGTACGAAAAAACGAATCAGAAGAAGGGGTGCTGATACAATAAGTGTTGTCCGGATACTGCACTGGTTGAGTGAGGGATGAGGAATGTAGAAGGTAATGAGAGGAGAAAATATAGCGGGGATTGGAGAGAAGCACAAAATGTTATTGTTTGAGAAATATAACGTCTTGGAAAGTTAGAAAAACTTATAGGGAAAGAGTAACAGGAAAAGCTTTAACTGGATAGAAGCAGCAGTATTAAAAGATGGCAGATAGAGAAAGATAGGGAGAGGAAGAGAGTATTCAATAATAGGAATGGGTACGGTTAGGGTTGGAGTAGTATGCAGAAGAGTAACTAAAGTGACCAGAGTAGCCACTGGAAGTGCACCTGCTACGATCAATGTATACATTCGAAAACAAGTAGCTTGTTGAAACTGGAAAACATAGTGACAGTCATTCTGCGAGCCATTCTAAGCCTGAATGAAGGTTCGAATAAAAGATGAAAAAATATCATAGTGAAACGGAATCAGTTCTCCATTTGTAGCTGTTCTGGTGATTCCTTCTCGGCATTCACCTTATTGGCATATTTAGGGTAAGCACGATGTACTCGTGATTATGAACTGTTATGAAGTTGTTCTGGAATTAGCTCAAAGTGCGGATTCCCGAATCACTCCATTGATTCCATTAGTTGGTTAGGCTATGGATGCGCTTTATTCAAAATATATATTCAGCAGTCCCATTGTCGTGCTATTCGGACGGTTATATCTCATCTTTCGTAGCTGACATTTCTCGCATGACATTGTTCGGGTACTGTTTAATGAAGGCTTTGAGACATACTGACTTTACCCTCACATTTATTTCATATTTGTGATCTCGGAAATTATCCAACTCTTTTTTTGTTTTCGGCAATAAAAAACCGTGATATTGAGTATCCATTTGTTGAACTGTGAAACGAGTTCGGTGGTAGAATTTTGAAATTTGTTAAAAGATTTAAAAAGATCGAAAAACATCTACCATCACAAGCATTTTTCAGTGCCCAAATGAGCGATCCAAGTTGTGTACGCGTTGCAGTAAGGTATATTTTCTAGTATTTTGTTAGTATTTGCTGTCATTAATACTACTATTATTGAAAGCTGAAATATTCGTAAATTTCAAAGTTTTGTTGATATAAATCTTGAGAGGTTTTTACCTAATTTGCTGTAACGTTCCAGGATAGTACAAAGTTATCTTTTTATTTATACCTGCAACCATAAAAGTGGGGCAGTTACAACGAAACATTTATAAAAAGATAAACAAATAAAAATAATATATGAATCATTTCTTTTATTTGCAACATTTTGTCAACTTATTTGAAGAGTGAGGCCGCAATCTGAACGAGAAAAAGTTGAAAACAGTCATATTTGTACAAACGTTTTGCAGAAAGAAGCACAGGTAACTGATTACATAAACTTGCATGAAGTAACATAGTAACATTAAGAAATGCAGCAAATGATTCTGCATAAAAGTTAGTTGTTTGCAGGTAACGATTGGTGGTGAAAGGAGCTTTACATTTGATTATGCCTTTGATATTGGAACTCGTCAACAGAAAGTTTATGATAACTGTGTTAAAAATTTGATTGAAGGAACTTTTGAAGGTTTCAATGCAACTGTTCTAGCTTATGGTCAGGTGTGTTACTCGTTTTATGAAGATACATGTCCAAGTGCGCTTAATCATAGAAATTTTATTACTATTTAGACTTACTTTACTGCTGCTTTAGTGTAGTTCTATTAATATTGTGTCGGTGCGAGTTTTCTTGGCTCTTACTCCTACATTTATCAGATTCATTTGTTATCGATAGGAATGCATGATTTTTTGTAAATCTGTGTGGGAATTTATAAACTTTCAAATAATCTAATACAGTACATTACAGACTGGCAGCGGTAAAACCTATACGATGGGTACAGCATTTGATATGATGGATGTAATGAATGAAATCGATGTGGGCATTGTCCCACGTGCCATTAGGCATCTTTTTTCTGGAATGGATAATCGCAAACAGCAAGCTTTAGAGCAAGGTCTCGTAGAACCTTGTTTTGACATTGTTGCACAGTTCGTTGAGGTACTTTCAACAGAAATGTTTAGTTTGTAAAATGCAAACCGAATCAGAAGTTTTTCCATCTGCAACTTTTGCTTTCTCCACTGTTCTTTCGAATAATCGAATTTTTTGGGTAAAAATACAATTTTTTTTCAGCTGTACAACGAAGATATAATTGATTTACTAAGTCATGAACGATCGCCTACAGGTCTTCGTATTCATGAAGACTCTAAGGGAGAAATTTTCTTAAATGGTGTAACGCGAGTTACAGTAACAAGTCCCTCACAGGTTTAATAATTGATTTGGTAATTGAACTATATCATAACATGGTGAAATCAGTTTTTAAAGCTACTGTTCGAAGTTAATTTTTAGTGCAGAATTTTTTTTTTGATATTCACTACTTTAACACATTGCATAGTTTGATATATTGGCATTTTAATTGTGCTTTAAAAGATAGGCATTGCATGTTTTCTTCAATTTTAGACATTAGAGGTCTTGAAAAATGGTGCGCTTAATCGCAAAACTGCATCAACCAATATGAACGAACAATCGTCGCGTTCACATGCCATTTTTACAGTGATAATTAAACAGCAACGAACAGTTGTTGTCAAAGTACATCATTTAACTTAGTAGTAAATCATGTTTAAATTCACCGTTTACACTGTCTATCGGATTACCGTTTATGTCGATGTAAAATTTTTGATTTCAGCCTTGTTTTGATTCTCAAGCTATCGCTGAACAAGGCGACGAAGCTTCTGCATCGGAAGAACCTCCTGCAACTGAACTGGAGCTTTTAAGTGCCAAATTCCATTTTGTTGATTTAGCTGGTTCGGAGCGTCTAAAACGCACTGGTGCTACTGGCGATCGGATAAAAGAAGGCATTAATATCAATTTTGGATTGGTATCAGCTTATTCCTTACTTTTTTAATAAAATCTAAAATATTGAATGGCTTTCCATTTTGACTTTAAAGACTATATCACGAAAAGAATATTCTGTCAAATACTGCATCTGTTTTAATTTCAGTTAGCATTGGGTAATGTTATATGTGCATTAACTACACCCACAACATCAGACAAAGTGGTACATATACCATATCGAGATTCAAAGCTAACTCGTCTACTCCAAGATTCACTTGGTGGAAACAGGTTATCCATGATCGTATTATTCAGGAATCGCAGAAATTTTTTTGGTGAGATGGAAAAATGGTTTATGAAATCAGTATTGTAGTATGATATATATGGTGTGGTTTTTAGTCGAACTTTAATGATTGCATGTATCAGTCCATCGGATTGCGATTATGTAGAAACGCTAAACACCTTGAAATACGCTAATCGAGCGAAAGATATCAAAAATAAGGTACTTTACTTCTTTAATTCAATAATGTTTAGTCATATATTTATAGACTTACAATATGATTAATCTTTGCAATTAACTTTTTAGATTGTAGCAAATCAGGATAAGTCAAGCAAATTAATTGGTCGTTTACGTTCGCGCATAGCCGAATTAGAGGCTGAATTGTTGGACTTCAAACAGGTTGTTTTACAGTGCTGCTGTGTATCTCAACTTCCATGCGTTTGACGTGGACACTCAAATTACCGCAGTTTTTTTGGACATGAGAGAAAACATTCGAGTTTAGATTCTTAGTTTAGTAGATCAAATACTTTACAGGGTCGGATAACAGTTTCGGATGGTGTCGAGTCCTTCAACGATCAGTACAGAGAGAACGTATTATTACAGGTTTGACCACTAGTAATTAGTGCATAGAATATTCAGACTAAGTGAAGTTATTGATAGTTTTCCGTTTGTATAATATTCCAAAGCATTGGAGGGATCTTATTCAGGTCTTGTAAGCTGAATACAATGCATTCGTGGGATGAGTCTTTTAAGTGTAGTCAGGTTTTGAAAGTGTTATTGATTGTTAAAAAAAAGTTCTCATTTTCGCACTTTTGTTTTAATTCTTATCCTTAAAATCAAATTCAAGAAATTTTAATAATTTTAAAATAGGAATTTGAATTATTGCTTCAGGCAGACGTAAGTCAGTTAAGAATTCGGATAAAGGCTTTACAAGAAACGGTTGAAATGCTGAGGGCTCGGAATGTTCAGCTATTAGTTGAAAAAGATGAAGTTTGTACAAGAATGCGTTTTTCAGAGACCCAAAATCAGCAAGTATTCATTGGTAAGCGTTTAAAGAAATACACGGTTGAATAGGTTTCGTGATGAACATTCATGGATTATTTTTGTAGAGAGCACTACTAACGAAACGAGAGAACAAGAAGATGATGCATTTGGTAGTACTGTGCGCGTATATCTTGATGAACTCGAGTCTTTGAGGTAAATGTCGTCCATTTTTCTTACGATTCTTTCAAAATTGAAATTTTTCCATGCAAAAAAAAAAAACCGATCATTATTCGGTATATGTGCTGGATTATAGGCAGTTATTGAAATTAAGATCGAAATGTTTAGATGTGCGTTAATGGAGTCGCATGCAACGAATGAGCAATTACACCAGCAAATGAATCGTTGGAAAGCGATGATAGCGAATAACATACCAAGAATGTCTGTGGACTATTTAGCAAACTGCGCTGCGATGATTAACGATTCGTCGGGTAATAATGCAGAAAGTGTCGCAACATCCACACCAACCTTCTCATTGATCCGGGAAGCAAAGGCTGACATTAAGCGTATGAAACAAAGTATGACGGAAAGTAAGTTTGCTGCGGACATTTTCCATCTTTCACAAATAATTTTGAATAATCGTATTATTGATTTTTAACTACAGAGTTCTTGCCTCTTTTAATTGAATTTCAGCGTTTTTCTGTAAGGTTGGTTTCATCAGGTGTTTATTACTCCTTTGTTTATTAATGTTAAGGCTCACCTGAAGAGGAGAAGACAAATCAAGATGAAGCGAAGATAAATGCAGATGATGTAATGAAATCTAGTATAGCGATGGATGATTTTGATGTGAATGATGCTGAGGAGTTGAAAGATGAAGATAATGAAGACATCGAAATTGAAAATGAAGCGGAAACTGGTGATATTCTGTTGTCATTATAGTGTTTTTGTCAAAATTGCGAATTTAATATCAAATATTTACCGTTTTCAAGGGCAAGGTATTTTCTGGATGGTTGAAGTCAACACATTTTCTGTAATTTACAGTTTTGCACACTTACTGCCTTATGACTGAAAACCTTCAGAAATTTTTTCTTTTAAAATAACATTTCCACTTTTATTTTCTCGAGATTAATATAAATTTTTTTTGCAGAATGTCTTAAACTCAGAGACGATCTCGCAGACTTGCAGGCAGAAATATCCATCAAAGAACGCTTAGTCATTGAGCTTGAGCTAAGTGAACGTCGCCTTGCCGAGGTTTATCGCTTATCTTTAATTTAGAGTTCTTATTTTTTTTTTATTTCATAACTCTTCATATGTTATATGTATTATGTCTTTAAAATTTAAAATTTTACGGTCCAAATCATGTATGAGAAGAAGTTGGCGGAACTCTCATTGCGAATAAGTGAAATGGAAGTGGAGCGCGATAGAGTATTGGCTGAAATGGGTGAGTGAGTATATAAGTATTCTAGGAGTTGCAATGCACATTCGTATCGAATGAGTATTCTACATCTAATGTGATGAGACAGCTTTCCAATTTTTATTAAAAAGAACGATTTAATAGAATTTTGCAATATTTATTGCGTGCTGTTGCGCTTTATCAAGTTTTTATGATTTTAGAATAATTTCTATGGAATGCATGCACTAAGTCTTTTATCTTCGTCAAGATGTTAATTGTTTTCATAACTACATGTTTTTCAGCATCAAAACACTCACAAAAGGTTGTTGACGCAGAACAAGTTCGTAAGATTCGCGGGGATTACGAAAAGAAGCTAACCACAATGCGCGATGAATTCAGGAAGTTGCAGTCCGTTGAACGAGAACATCGTCGAATGCAAGCAAAACAAGTTGCAGAACAGCAACAGCTTTTGCGGTTGAGAAATGAACTAAATGAATTGAAGAAAACAAAGGTAGATTTAGTTGATGACTGAAAATTTGAAAACGACTTTCAATCATTAATCCATTTTTTTTGATCCGTAATACCCAGTTATCTATACTTTATAAAGCTCTGGTATCTAAAAATTTTAGTCGGCTTAAAGCTCGTCAACCCTATGTGTCGATACTGGAACTTAGTTTATGTTTAATGCAGGTCCAACTGATGCAGCGAATCAAGGAAGAAGCCAGACGTGCTAAAGCAACTGAATTAACAAACATGAAGAAGCTAGCTGGTTTAGAAAAAGAATCTAGGTTGTTTTACTGATACAATCCTATCAAGCTTCAGTTCTCTGTTGCATTTGCTGAAATACTTAATTATGTAAATTTTGTGCTTATTGGTCTACTACATTATTTCATGAAAATAAGTCTTTTGTTGCGCTTTCAATTCTGTAAAACTTTTCAGTGTAATGAGTTGCTCTCATTACTAAAACGAAAATTTCAGAAAGAAAGATAACTTAATCCAGAAACTTCAAAACAAAGATCGTCAGCGGGAAGATTTCTTGAAAAGATCAGCCGATGAAGTTAATCGCTTACGGCAGCAAGTCCGTCAGGCAAGTATATGAGTAACTTTTATGCTGGATGTGCATTGCATGAATCGTTTTGATGAAAAATATAAGGATTACTTCAGCGTAGTGCTTATGATCGTAAAACTGAACGAAGTGGAACACAACGGACCTTGCGGTCAGCACCACTGCGTCATGGACGTGATACAGCTCCTTTAACAAAATTAGAAGTAAATAAAGCAAAAGCAAAGTGGATGGCTATTGAAAAAAATGTGAGTTTCTCAGGCTTTTTATTTAACTTCAATATTCCTATCCAATAAATATATTTTTCAACTTATTGAAACATGTTTCGGATTTCTTACAATTGCAGATACGTCGTAGAATTAGCCAGCGTCAAGCGATCAGCAAGATGGAAGACGAACTGGAGAAAATTGTAGCTGAGAAACGTGTTTTAGCCGAAGAAATTCAACGACTGGTATGTCGTGCAGTTCTAAATAAATCTAAATAAAGCTAAATAAATTCATATTAGCCAGATAATTGAGTAGAAATGAGGCCTGGAATCAAAGTTTAGCTTAATGAGTCAAGAACCTGATCTGAAATTTAAATAACGGGGACTGGGCAAAATTAAAATAATGCGGTTTTCCGAAGATAGTGAGTTGATCTAGAATAAGATTTATATAACATGTCTTGATTCAGGAACAGCAATTTATCAAGGCGAAAGATCTGGCTGAAAGAGACCTCATTGGTGAACACATTGATGGTTGCTATGCGAAGATGCGCTACGTTCAGGAACAGTTCACCGAATTGCGGAATACAATTGCTGGTATCGACAATGAAAATACGAAGGTTAGTCTGTTTCCCAAGTTCTTTACCTTACCAAAAAAAAAACATAACATGATTAACATGATTTCTTGTAAGGGATAATCATATGCTTTTTGTTTGCATGTTTTATCGAATAGCAGTTGTGAAGATACCAAAGTATTATAGTCACTATTGAAAATATAACATATTTATTTTTTTACATCTGTAAGCCAAATAGGTTTTTTTTCTTACATATTTTTTTACTTATTTTGATAAATGTTTCTTCTTATGCTGTTTTTCTTCAGTTTATAGCTGAATTGAATAAAATATTTCTTTGTAAGAATGACTAGTAAATGTTAGGATTTTATTGCCTTAATTCACTGTTCCATTTCTGATTTATGACGGAATAGTTCTGAGAATTTTTGTTCCGCACTTTCGTAACAAAATGGATTCTGTAATTGTATTATTAACTGGATTTCGACTGGGATGAATTTAATGTTGTCTTAAAGATTTTCCTTGCCTAGTTTTCTTTCTGCACTCGTTTGCAACTCAAACTACACTGTCTTTAGAAAAGGCAGTAGAAAGATTCAATCTTGTTTCTTTTATCGTGTGTTTCAAAAACGAATTTTATAGCAGTGACTTCTCTTTTAATGGAAACTTCCACCATATTCGAAGCACCATTTCGTTTCTACCACCATAAAAAATTGATACTCTTTTGTTTCTCACAGGAAACTTATGTATTTTCTACATGGTCTTTCAATTTCTAAAGTATTTGTTTTTAAACTTCCCCATTATCTCACGTTTTTGAGGTTGTATAGTTACGGGGTTTTCAGCTGTCAATGAATAAACCAGTGGTTTTGAGCCTGTTCTAAGCAGGTCCCACCTTCTCGGCCTCATTTACCAAGAACAAAGATCTAACTTTAGTAAGATCGAACTTGATTGTGATGTTAAATCAGCTTCAGATTTTATTTATGCGCGAAAATTTTTGCAGATGAAAGTTTGTACTCAAAATAGCGAGTACTTAGATATACAAATATCAGTACAGAAATCTAGCATCAGTAAAACTAAAAATCAATGGAAAGAATTAAATGTGCGAAATTTTGAAAATCTGAGCTAGATAAAAAATAAAAATGACAGATGACATCAAAGCAAACCAACTATTTTGGCAATAAGGGAAAAATATTCAGCAGTAATGTACATTATAGAATGATTGATAAATCAGTTCAGAAACGAATTGGGAATTATGATTTATGTCGGTATCTTAGCGTAAAAGTTTTAGTTATCACTCAGTTTTGTAGTTGAATTTCAAAATTTATAAAAAAATTAATGAAGAAGCTCTCTCGAACTTCATACATTACTTTTGTATAACAGTTTTTAAATAGATTACGGGTACAACCGCTCATCCTTTATCCGTTCCTGTGTTATTAAACTGTTATGGTGCCTTGTCATGTGAAATAGACTATGAAGTCCTTAACTGACTAATAATGAAATAAAACAAACAACGGGGCATGGTAAAAACCAGGCTGTAAATCGATAGAAAGATGAAACAAGGGATGCGCATAGGGATAAGTGAACGATTTGGTTTTTGATTTGATTAAATTTCTCTGTCAAAAGGTCTTGAATTTTGTTAGACATTATGAAAGAGTGAATGAACGCGGGGAAAAGTAAGAATTTATTTACTGATTCCTATTCTTGCAGCTAACTAATAATGTCTAACATATTCTATGTGGATAAGTGAAAGTAGCTTCGTTTTTTTTCAGGATAGGGTTGAAACTAATTACTTTGAAAGCACTTCTAGGTAAATTGGCTCATTTCATCATCGTGGAAAAAAGAGCTCTTCTCTCATGTGATTATTTACGTTTTAGAACTTTTTTAAAAGAGGAAACAAAAAGTGAAAAGGCATATTTTTGCTTGCTGTTACTTTTTTAGTTAGATTTAAATGAGTCTTCTTTACCATCACTGTTTGCTACGGACGTTCTAGCTTTACCATCGATCATCTTAAATTTGTATACTCCATACCTCAAACATTAGGTACAAGTTATGGAGTTCGTTCAATCATCGCGGTAGCATCATCTTTTGGTATTAAATTTAAAGACTGCTGCAAGCTGGTAGTACCACTTTCTTTTTGATTCAAGTTGCTCTCACACATCGATTTTCTAGATATCCTTACAATAGTTGAGCGTCGGGCTGCTAAATTCGGTATGATTACTTCTGTAGATGATCTGAAATGCATAGGCGTACAAGATTCGAAAGTTAAATGTAGATTCTGCTCCATTTTTATACCTCTTTTTTATGCAATCGATTTGATTGGTGGTGGGATTTTTAAATCTTCATGACAACGAAGTTAGTTTTATCCCGAAAGGATGAAATTTTTGATTGAGTCAGGAATCCAAGTCGTGGTGATTAATACTTAAATCACCAAGAAATTATTCAATGCTACAGTCTTCGGTGATATAGCATTTGCACGCTTGAACAATCGTATATATAGCCCTGCCAAAAAAAGTTCGTAGTTTGATTGAGTCGATATTTAGGAAGTTTGCGGTTCAAACTACGTGGTCTTAACATTATGCAATTTTCGAGAATAGAAGTAACCATCCCAAGTTTACTTTGTCACACCATATTTTCAAAGAAAACTCATTGAATTTTTTCTGTTTAATAGGATTTTCATAAAGAACTTTAAACAACAAGACGAAATTGGATTGGTAGCTTTGAAGTACGATGGGATATATTTAATAAATTATTTCATGCAACTTATAAAAAAGAATGAACTGTTTAGCCTTTCGCATTATCTGTGCTGCAAGTGTAGCAAAAAGCAAGGCACACAATGCAGCACCGGAAGCAAATAGCAATTTTCTCCACTGAACGTCTTCACTGAACCCTGTTAGCCATATGCATATGCTGAAGCTGAGCACTGATCCAATTATGCAGAGGAAAAGCTTAAAAATTCTTAGTTTACTTTATCCAGTGGTAAATACTGTTTAATTTGAGAAAATAGATAAGTTTATTTGAAATAGGAATTTCATTTTTCTTTTAGACTAAAATTTCAATTTAGTTTTGGGATTAATTCTGTTTTTTTGAGTGAATTAAAGCTTCAATTTAATTTCGGAGTTGAATTATACTTAAAATTTCAATTCGAAGTATTTAGTCAGTGGATAAAAAAAAAGTTGGGCGCAACCAGCAGATACTTTCTGAGTTTTATGTTTCGCCAGTTAAACAAAGAACCTTACTTTTTTGCTTTTTTGGGAACTTATAGTAAAAGCGTTCAAAAAATAACCTGTCCGCCCAGCGAAGTTCTATTTGCTCGTTTCTGCATGTTGATATCACTTTGAAGCGGTATTTTTATGCTTCCGCTGCAGTGACTGCCACGTCCTTCCCCACAGTGGCTTTGCTATAATCAGCAGGAGTAAATTATAGTATAAGAGGAGAAATTTCTTATAGATCTATGGAAATATTATCAGTCTATGAATCTTAAATATTAAATTTTTGGGTTTTTTAAATAGTATTATGAAGACATTGATTGTTGATTGGAAAGAACTTCCTTTGAGTGAGACGGGTGGAGATAAATATTGTTAGCTTAAATAAATTCTCATTTTCTGAATCGCTGATTTTATCATCTATTAGAATTTCGAGCATAATCGGAATTTGGGTGAAATGTACGTGGAACAAAATACTAGCTGAAGGTTATTATCTTTAGTGTTATTTCTTCAGAAAGGCAGTTTGGTTCTAGTAGGTTTTGTTTTAAAGCAGATTTGGTTTTAATAGCATTTGAAGTTTTTAAATATTGATCTCGAAACGAGGAAAAAATAATTTACTTTCACTGGAATACTGGATTTTCCGTGTTCTTGGGGCATAGAGGGCTGTTTATTGTTCGTGTTGGTCTCGCTTCAAATACATCTGCAGCTGCTGGTGTTCTTTTTTTGGTGACCTCTAATGATGGACTGGAAGGATTTATATGTAATAGAACGGATCTAGCAACCTATACGTGGTATTTATTCATGCAAATTTTGTGAATTAATGCGCAACTAATGGTCGAAAATCTCGTATCAGGCGACAGAATGAATGTTTCGTAGAAAGTCAACATCTCAAGTCTCTCAACTTTCCTTTTGACCTCCTTATCACCAAACAATGAAAAAATTAACCGAAACTCGATCATAATTTCTGGGAAATTATGATCGTCAATAGTCTTCATGTTTATGGTTGTATGAATGGGAACCTTAAGTTATAGTGTGTCTTTTTTCATACCCTTCAAGGTGAATTAGGAGTTCACTATTTTCTGGGTCACTACCAGTAAGGTCACTCTCCTTAGTATTCCTGGTTAAAGTAATACTTATCTACTGGACAATTTTAAAAGAATTGACCGAGAATGTATATTCAATAGTAAGAGGATCGAAAAAACTGGGAAAAGAAGATAACGTTTTAATAGATGCATTATTTTTTCAAAGGTGAACATTACTCATCTTTCAAGATTGACGTCCTAAGTCTCCTTAGTTGAATGCTCATGTACTTAAAATGATAGAGTTAGAGGAAAAGGAAAAAAATCGTAGATTTCCCGGAAGGCCGGAAATCAGGAATGCACCGTTTTTCTGGAGTCATCTAGAAGACAAAGTTTTTTTCGAATATGGTTCGGAATTTTTGTTAATGAATGAATGACTAAATGGTCTTATAGGACTTTTTATATAGAGGATGTGTGGTGGGTGTATAAGCAATAACATTCAAATGTGTTTCAATATATTTATAATAAAAGCTAATTAATCTACGAAAAAAAAAAGCAGATTGTTGTTCAGTCCCATTTCCCGGCAGGAAATTTCCTGACAGGTAAAATAAGAAATCTTTTTCTCCAACTAAGTAAAACTACTTTACTTAACGTAATGCAAGTGAAATGATAGGGGAAAATCCGTATTAATATCATAAGTACTAGAAAATATGTGATTAAAAGCATAGAAGACTTTTAATTAGTGATTAGTACGTAAACAGCACTTGTCACGAACCCAATGAGGTTACCAGAAGGTTACCCAATGAGGTTACCAGATACATTGTATTTCCGGCCCATGCTTTTTTTTGCTCAGGCAGCGTTTTTTTTGACATTCATGGGACTTCATTAATTATGAGACGGAGAGACTTATTAATTATGAGACGGAGAGCTCTGTGAACATATGGTTAAAATTTATCAAAGGCTTAAACTGACACTTTAAATATATTTTTAAGTAGATTCTGGGAAGCGATAAGGATAGTGAACAAACATTTAAAAAATGATGAGAGAGGGTCTTTTTGAAGAAAGATGTAGAAGCAGCAATGCGTTGTTTTTATAACTTTTAAGCAATTTATTTTTAAATCGATGAAAATCCTAAGTAATCAAGGAAATTTTTCCTTAAACAATTTTAATTTAGATGAGGATTTAGAAGAGAAGAATTAGTTGGTGTTTTTGATAAAAAAAGAGCGCTTCCTTGGAGCCAGCAGCCAAAAGAAATAACCACGGTAAGACCAGACAAATACTTTCTAATGTTTTCCTCTCTTTCCTTTCCTTCTTCGTTTTCTCCATCTCTTCCTCATCCCACTCCTCGGAAGTGCCAGAGAATATGTAATGGAGCTTGTAACAGAAGTTTAAATTGTTCAAATTTATGCCACTTTATTTTATCAGCATGCAACAGCACTAAGTAGCAAGGAACATCCTGTAATTACTCTATATCTCGACCATTTTCCTGTATTCAAACTTCCACCCTTTCTTTCATTATGTTAAAACTAAATCATTATAAAATACTTGTCACATCGTTCATATACCGCTTTTAACACTTTTGCCCGTTTCAATCTCCCATTCTGATTGTATTAATTTGTTTCAATCCCAGTCACTTTTCATTGTTTGACTGTTACTAATAAGCAACTGTCCAACAAAAATCTAATTAGCCATTGTTTTAAATTGGTTAGGAATCAGTTATGTAAAGGATTCTTTTTCATTTAAAAATGCGATATAAATATGTTGAGAATACTCAATTAATATTCCGTATAGCGGGACGTTGCGATATTGCAAAGCAATCCGGTAAATAGTTCAGTAACAATTAGACGATTACTAACCAAAAAATATTTAAAATACTCTTCTGAGTCTATCTTTACGAAAAAAAACGGTGCTGTTACTATATCTTTCGGAGAATTGGATAAGCAGAAAAATAACAGAGATAAATTTCAAATTTCTGTAATTGTGCCCAACCTATTTGACTTCTGTTAAAAAAACATGACTCAAAACTGAATAACGAGCTGCATAAAGTTTTTATTCATTTCATGTTACAGCTATCATCAGTACTGTAGCGCAATGCAGGTTAAATTAATTTTCAAATATTTAATCCATTTCCAGACGTGGGATTCGAAGATTTCTCTCTAAAATTAAATTTGTTTTGCTGAATCCTTTTTACTATTTTGGAAGGATCAAGTAAGATCAAAATTCATCAAGAAAATGTAGCGAAATGGGAAGAAATTCTTTGTTTTTTAGAGAGAATGAAAATGAGATAAAAATGTAAATACCGTTTTTTCGATGCTTGCAAACATTCAACCATCCTTGGTCTATGTAATTTTTCTTCGGCTACATACACCTTTTCATCCTCTTTATTCACACATACACTTAAGCCTATTGATTTACTCGCTAACATTATGAGTGGATTATAATGAATTTAGAATAAGGTCCAAACCTTTTTAGTTAAGTGAAATTTTGTTAATTTAAATCCATTCTACTCGAAGATGGCTAGAAAGATTGTTAAGAACGAAATAATGCAACTAAAGATTAAGATAATAGTCAACCTCATATTTTACTTTTATTCAAAATAAGTTCTCATAAGTGAAGCAAAATTGTTATGCATTTCTTTAAGTTTGATAAACTGAATTTTAATAAACATTAAATTGCTTGAGATTCAAAATACAAATACATTTAGACTAGTTATCTTTCCACAGAAATGCGTGAAATACGAAACAAGCAAAACGAGAAATTTTTTTAATCGGATATTGTTACAAATCAAGTGGAATTCAAAAATTATGTAAGAACTATGTATTTACAGCGAAATCTAATTTCGTTTCTTACGATGTTCTATGCAACTTTTTGATTTAATTCGGAATTAAAGAGGGAAAAAGAAGGAAAGAATAGAATTTGACAATCATATATGACAAAACAATTAAATTTGAAACGAATGGTACTAAGGTCATATTAAATTCAGTAAAAATGGCATTCGCGGAAGTTCTTTTAAATGGGTTTCGGGAACCTTCGTTAATAATGCCAGAATATAGTAAAAGTGAAAATAATTTGTAGTTGGCTTTCTGGATCATATCGCTATGACAGCATGGAATACACGAATACACTTGTTTGAATATATTCCTTCATATCTTCCTTCATATCTACCCTTCATATATATGTTCATACGCTCAAAGTTTCACTCTGAGAAAATCTAGTTGAGAGCTATGATGACATTTAACCTCTTGATCTGTGAAAAAAATTGACAGTACTGTCGGTTTGACAAGCCGTAAAAATCTGACTATTTCTTTTTTAGTTCACAGGGGAAATGCTTGAAAGTGATATGTAGAAGAGGTTACAACAAGAGTAAAGAAGGTACCACAGTTGTTCGAGACTAAGGAAAAGACTTGATTCCTCAGAAGGAAAAATTTATATTAATCAAGCACTTTTTAGCTGGTAAAATAATATGAGAAATAAAAAGGAAAAGAAAGCAAGGTAAAAAGGTGGAGCTATTTAAACTCTGCGAGACATGTTGGTAGAGAATACTGCCTCTGGCAATCTTTGGTTTGTCGTTGAACAGTTCATTTATTTCGCAATAAATAAGTGATCCCATTGTTTTTAGTAGTTTAGTGTATTGTCCATAGTAAGTTGCTTTCTATGCATAGTTTATAGTAGTTCAATAGTTAAGAAAGCTCATTCATTCCTGCTATTGTACTTCCCTTCCCACTTCATTTGTTTTCCCAACTTCTTAAGACGCCCGTCAATTGAGTGACTTTGCAGTTTAACTTTTGTTTGATAAACCGAAAGAAGAATAGTTATCTTCTGTAATGATGAACAAGAGGATATCGTGAAAAGACTACTGTCAATTCTTATAAGAATTCATCAATAAATTAGATGAAAGCTGGTCGAACAATTAAAAATACGCAGGATTGAGAACATAAACACTATTTAACTCAATGTTGAGGTGATAATTAACATTATCCACTGAATTCGTTTATGTGCACTATCTAAAGAATTGTTTCAATAGTGCCTTACTGTATTTATTTACTAGTACTTACTCAATACTCTTTATCACTAACAAATGAATGTAAAAAATGGACGAAGGGTTTAATAAGAGTTCACTTACTTGTGAAGTATTCCCGACTGATTTGTTCTGTTTTAAAAGCTTCAAAAGCAGATCATTTAAATCAATGCTGCCGATAATGTCTTGGTCACAAAAGAAAAAGGCAAGATTCTCTCTGTTGCGTATGACAACAGCTGATTCAGTGTGTCCCATAATGCTATTGGCTATCATTTGTTTTCATTTCTCTTTATTAAGGCGACTCATATTCATATCAATTAGCTTTGTTAAACTGATTATTGACACCATTACTGTCTGGGGCTTGCTTTCCTTCATTTAAGAAGTAGCATCACATACAGCCCTTCTGGTGGTATGTGATGCTACTTTTTAAATGAGGAAAATGTCCATCATAAGTTTGGGATCGTAAGTTGAAGTATTGGGTCATCGGCGGATATGACAGGGGTATTAAACAGCATTTCTTCTCCGCTTCCTCCCTCTTGACGGCTTGCAGTTCTCGAGGAGGTCCTCATTTATCTTTTATGCATAAAGAAATTTTAATGGCATGAAGTGAGAAATAAAAGGGAATCAAGAGATAAGGTGAATTGAAATGCTTTCAGCTGTGAAAGCTTATACTGTTATTATCAAACCAAGTAACATCAACGAGAATAATTAATTTGCAGGGAAGAGGCTGTGATATGAATTACATAGAAATTCTGCTACACCTATGCATATCATTTCTACATTTCTGGATTTTTTTATTTTCGCATCTCTAGTGCCTATGTACTCATAATTATTTATTCCGAAACTTTGATATGTTCTAAAATACGGAATAGCTGAAATAGATGCAACATTTTATGTTTTCATAAATAGAATAATAAATCCATAATAGTTTTTCTTGGAAATTTTAATATCAAATGTCATAAGGTAGTATTGTTCGAAAAAAATACTTTCTAGACCATAGAAGCTGGGGATATATGTTTTTAAAGTACGAGCTAATGTTTTCAATGTCCGTATAACTTTCTTTCATATACAGTGATGGCACTATAATAATTACCTATTTTGACAACTTTCCCGGTTCCTTTCTATCTGATCTGGAAATGTGGAAGAACAAATTCTGTTCCAGCTCAATAACAAAATTATTTTCTAGTGGGTTGCCAGTTACGAAGGATGATGATTGAACCCAATATTTTAAGCTGAATTAGAAAAATTCTGAAGATATTCAAGTTTTTTATGAACATTTGAATTAATAGTTTTTTTTCTTAAATGAATAGTTTTTATTTTAAAAAGATGGAACATGGAAGGGAAACCATTAATCTTAATTAGGTAATGCCAGCTCAGGAATTCGCTGAAAAAAGGCGAACTCGAGCACTAAAAGCCCACTGCTAAAAAAATGCAAATAATCTAGATTGCACTGTGTGAGAGATCATTGTCCCATGTTTATTTTGCTTTTAAAAATCTGAAAAACTTTTTTTTGTTGAGAATATTTTGCTTACAAATAGCGGATTTTATTTGTAAAATCTTCGAACAAGAATATGAAATAAATTGGCATTTTTTGCTTCATTCAAAAAGCGAAAAGTTTTAATTTAAGAAGGTTTGATTTCTTTGTTTCTGCAACAGCAGCAGCAGAAATAAAGAAGGAAGGCCAAAATAATTAGAGAGGGCTTAAAATTATTGTCGGCTGATGAAGGGGAATTAGTTGTGAAGGTGATTAGTTCTAAGCTTCATTGATTATTGGTCAGTTCTTTTATATACCGCAAAAAGACCAGAAGTATGAATAGTAAAGATGAAATAGCTTCTTGGAATGATATATCTGTTATGAAGAATAAATTGAGGTGAATGAATGCTAAAGAAGTCATGGTTATTGTACACGCATGTATATTCATAAAAAATTTATGTAAAAGTTTGTTAACGCGAATTAAAATGAAATAAATATAGAAACAAATCAAAACATTGTGATGGATTTTAAATTAAATTTCTTCATAAGGAGATTTTAAGCATTATCTTTAACTGTGTACTAAATGAACCTTTCAGCAAATTAGAACCGGAAAGGTGAAATCTTGCTAATGAGCATTTTGGTGTCATAATTACCAGATAGGCAACTCATTTTCTAGTATATACTTTGCTTTTTTCATTATCGAACTTTGAATGTTCAGTCATCTTCGATGCACTTATCCTCAGTAGGTCTTGTTGCACGGTTTCATGAGTCTCATATAGTTGTTTGAGAAAAAGATTAGTAAGTAATCGAAATTAATCGCAGTCTTCTATACTTCTCCATAATTACAGCAAAAATTGGCAGTGGAAAAATAAAAGTAATAAAAAAATGAAAAAGGTTTAGGAGAAAAAATTGAATAGAAGTTGTAGATGATTTCATTTTAGGATGATTGTGGCTAGGGGGCCATGACAAAATGTGTAAAACAGGAAATACAGAAAAACATAAACTTGAAATAGGGACGATCACGTATGTGTGTACAGTTATGTCTAAAGTCGATTAAGACGTAAAGTTTGGTTCAGTGCCATTTGCAATTTTTCCTATACAATTGCATCACGTTGCGAATATTTTCGGAGGTCATTTTGGAAACTACATTTTATCCTCACTTAATCAAGTGGGGTGAGATGAAAATAAGCTTGAAGATTGTTTATTTATTAGACTTGTCTTTTATAGCCTTTCCTTCCTTACTCTGATTATCCTACAGTCGTAATTTCCTATCTTCTAAAGTATAATCTTTCACTTGTACTTTTAATTATACGAATTGGAATGAAAAAGAAGTGTTTTAATGAAGTTCTGAAGAATTCGGGAAAACATTTGATTGAAGGACGAGAGTGAGTAAAAGATGTAATATAGACGAGCTTATATGCGTTCTTCTGAGCAGAGAATGCTACTTTTATCTCATTTTATGTTTTGCTATTTCTTTCGTTTTTTTGCTCATATATATATATATATATATATATTTGTGTTTCATAAACAGTAGTTCCGATGTCAACTTAGAATGAAAGCAATACCTGAACAAGGAATTGTACTGAAATTTTTTGAAGTGCAAAATTTTGGAAACATGCATACTTATACTAGGTTCTTGCTTTTGTGATTTAATGATCCTTACTCTATAATACAATGTTCCTGTTCAAGCAATTTCCAATATTGTTTCGTTCTCTTTATAGGATTCGGGAACGATAGATGCGGAAGCTTGTCGTGATGCTGAAACAGAAATTAAAAATTGTTCGTCGATTGGTGAAGCAGTAATTATTCTCAAGCATTTGTTCGGTTTTTGTTTGGAACAAGGATTTATTGCAGCTAAAGCTATTAGTGATAAAAGGGTTGGTATTTAACATGTTTGCGCTATTGGATAAATAATCCAGAGTTGTGAACATATTGCTAAGATTGCATTTAGCAAACACTCAAACTACGTTATGTGTGAATTTGTGTTTGTCTGTGAATGTGTGGAGAAATAAACTAGGTTGTAACTTTGTGGCGGGGAACCATGTCTGCGAAAGGAAACCATTTAATAACAGTAATCTGAACCTCAAGTAACCTTGTCGTGTAGCATAGTATTTAAAATTTACTATCACAAAAAAATCTCATTAAGCTCACTGTGATACTGAAGAAATAAAATGGCCACTGCATGACAGAGGATTTGGTGCAAACTTTAAGTTCTGAACTATTATATTGAAATATGAATTTTTTGCCTCATTCTCTAATAAGTTGTTTACATCAATATAAAACTACTCCAAAAAACCTTTTGCTCAAGAAACCTCTCTTCAAATTGGAATCTTCGGAACGAACTGCGTTATTTTTCCTCTTCAATCTGTAATGCTTGACTAGTTTCTTTAAGTCATTCATCTGATCATTACTTTTGAACTTGTTTTGCATTAATTTATTAGTCTTTAAGACTGAATTAAGCGCAATGTACTAATAGAGAAACGTGTTTGGTTTATGAAATTAAACTTGTTATATTTACTACTTATCTTTTTATTCCGGTTTTGCCAGAAAGAAATACACTAATGTTTTTTTTGTACCTTTTTTGGCTCACAAGTGTTGGACTATCAAGAAATTGTTCTTAGTTGTCCAACATTTGTGACAACAATAAGAAAGACAGTACCTCTTAACAATCCAACAAATTGCAAAAGCAAAAATTCTTCAGATTTTGCTGGTATCGCTAATTATTTTTTATTGGATCGCACATAGTAACTCTTTAACAGATGTCAAATTAATAGCATTTCACAACCATAATTTGGAAGAAAGTTATTCTATTACGTAACTAAGGATGTAAAACAAAGCATGCATTTATTACTGGGATGACTTTGAATGCGGTCTTCTCACTGAAGGTCTACTTCCGAAGTCTAATTTATTGAATACTGAATTCAGGTGACAAGGCATTTTCTGTGCATATGTATAATATGTATGTGATGGGTTACGGATTCTTTTTCGTATGTTGTGTCCAACACTGAAATATTCCTATGCACTGATCTTTTTTAAACTTGTTTCTTGAAACTGTGATATTTATTGATGTTCTTAGGAAGCTGACTCACTGATTCAAGAGCTGCAAAACGAATCGATTTTAAGTGACGTAATTTTGAATCAGGCGTTGGAGGCTTCGAAAAGGGTAAGTGTTCTTTGTTTCTTAATGCATAGATTTTACAGTCATTTTGAATGATACTGCTTCAAGATTTTCATTCCAATTATAAAGTTTCGAAATATTAGAATGGAACAAAAAATTTTCTAGTCTTACCAAATTCAACTTTGATTTATAAGCATACTTTGAATGTCCACGGAATCACTCAAAAATGCCTGCAATTTATTCTGTTAAGGATGCTGGGGAGCAAAATTGTAGCAGGGATGTGTCGCCATACCGCGAAAATGAACAAGTTAGATCAATAGCGAATGCAAATCAAGTAACGCAAGATTTACGCGATGACTCACGTGAAGGTAATTTGCATCGTGTACTTATCTCGCTAGTTTATGAGGTTATATGAAACATTCTGCGAAAAATAAACAAAATTGCAGTATCACCTCCTGCATCAGCGCACAAGATTCGTCGCCGTACAGCTACGCCAAGTGAACTACTCTATCCGCTGAAGGAATCAACGCAAGGTCAAATTGCTGACAAAATCCATTTGGAGCAACTCAACGAAGAAACTCCATGTCTGGACCAGCAAATCGTCGAGAAAGCGCGACCACTGGAATCTTCTGTTGAAGAAGGACGACTTTCAGAACTAGACAGTGTAACTAATCCGGGATTGGAAGCGAAAAATGAAATGACGAAATTGATAGATCTGGATTTGGATGATCGAGGTTCCACTGAGTCACCATCATCTGGTCGTGGTAGTCGAAGGTTTGTATTTTAGCTTTTTCAAAATTGAGACCTCAAGGGAGTGGTTTATAACTTAGAATTATGTTCGTCATAATATACGGTTATGTCGTTTAATTCTGAATAGATTTTTTTGTTCAAAAGATTTCTTTTTTTCAGAAGATCCGGCCGTATACTACCATATGTTCCTCGGACACTAACAGGGTTTCGTGATAAAGTAACAGCTTCGCGTTTACTTCTACGCACACACACCTTGGATGGACATACTAAAACGGTACTTTCGGTAGACGCTAATGGTCATGTGGTAATCAGTGGCTCAAAAGGTTTGATAATCGTCAAAGATTTGTGATGGAATTCTTTGTTGAGATTTTGATTTAATTAAAATGCTAACTTTAATAGAGATGAAACTTTTCAGAACATTATAGATTTTATTGGTCTATGCAATATATTTTAAGATAGAACAGCGAAAGTGTGGGATTTGGAAAAAGGTGTTGAGAAATGTACGTTTGGCCTCCATCCGAACAATGTATCATGTGTACGCTTTATTCCCTCCAGCCAGTTAACCCTGACCTTGTCTATGGCATGCGTTCGTATTTGGGACTTGAGAAATGAAGAATGTGTACGTACGCTACATTCATCAGGTCTTGCAGCTGCAGGTAAGTAAAAATTAAATCTAAGTTTTGATATACTATTTTAACTTAGAATAAATTTCCATTGATTGTTAGACTTCATTAGCAGATGTAGATTATTTTGTTTATCCTGCGCAGAAGTAAAAATCGTAGTTTTCATACTATTTAGGTGACACTATGGGTGCAAATACACCTCGACAAACTATGTTACCCATCTCCGAAACGATGATCAATGCGCTGGAATTGGACAACTCGGGAAAGTAAGTCTGTCAGATTAACATTTTGTCGTTTTGCAACTAAAATATTACCTTTTTTCAAGCATTGTAGATACTAATAACAGTGTAGTTCAATTAAAATTTTGAAAATTATAGAGAAGAAAATGCAGATGAAAAATATTGATTTTACAAATTTCTAGATTTTGTTGCAAAAGTAAAAGTATTTTTTTCAGGCTTATGTTTACAACATTCAACAGTGATGTCCGTATTTGGAATTTAGAAAAATTTGCACCATTCGGTCGTTTATCGGCAGCGACTCATGGCTCGAGGTAACATATTTAACGATTCATATTATCTTATAATCATTATTGAGTTTTAAAAAATTTTCGAAGTTATTTTATGTTCAACACTCATAAAATTTCTTCCAGAAATCTGAAATCATGGTCAAAAGTGTTGAAACTGTTATCCTTTGCTTCTTTTTTCCAAGCTTATTAAGAGCACTGAAACTTTCATATAATTTAGATCAGAAGTATCATGTCTTGGATTTTTGGGTGGCGTAAAACCGAAAATCTTCACTGGCTCTCGTGATCATTATGTTAAGATGTATGAAATCAATGCCGACGGACTAGGTCTTTTTGAAGCTTCGCATGAATTTTCTACAGCTCATTATGATTGTGTTACATCCGTTGTTGCTTACGGTGATTCCGTATTTTCTGCTTCTAGAGATACGGTTAGTATAATTTTATGACCAGAGTGATTCAGAAATTGGTTAGATGTTTCAGTTCCAGAATAAATTTTTTCCGAACTTCATAGCAATATTCTTTACTCCTATTCTGTTATTTTCAGTAAGCTGGGTGTTTTTAAATGTAATAGGTTCATTTGTGTTTTCTATCAAGGTATTTTGAATCCGTTAGATTGACTTCCTGGAGCTTTACGTTTTAGATATGTTTTGTGATTTTTAAGAAAAATTTGACTTCCTTTTTTTGCAGGATATCATGCGCTTTTCGTTGCAAGATATGAAGAGGGATCATATTGAATTGCAAGCGCATAATAAATGGATCCAATCCATGTGCATTCTAGATACATACAGACCTTTATTAATTACGGCTTGTAAAGAAGGTCGAGTGAAAGTGTGGGATATTACGAGTACTCGTAAATTACGTCTCGTTGACCAGGTTTTTTATTTTTTTTAATTTATGATTTTATACCTTCACTTTTCTGAAGATTTTAATCAAGTTGTATTGGGAATACCTAGTTTTTAATATTTGTTTTAGTAGTAGGTTGATTGTTATTACTAATACATTTAGATTTCCCATGCTCACGAAGAAGCGATCAACGAATTGGCGACCCACTCAGGCATCCTTTTTACTGCTTCCAGGTAATTTTTGTCATTTTTCATTATTTATTGGTGAGTCCTTACTCTGACCCACTTCGTTTAATATAATTGAGCTGAAACATGCAAATTTTCTGTTGTTAAGTATGTTTATTCTTAACGACGGTTGTCATATAAACATAAAATCTGTTTAAATGATTACATCCATCCGCGATGATCTGAAGAGGATGAAATCCATAACTTCAATCTTCATTTTAAATTCTATTATAATGGAGTGTACACCCCTGACATATGTTTAATTTCATAGGTAAGAAAAGCACGAAACGGAGGAATTATACAGAAATAAGGAATATTTTCAGTCAAATCATAGTAGTGTGGAAGGTTACAATGTTTGTATTTAGTGATACAACTGTCGCCCTTTGGCAATCTAATTATGAATGAAAACCTATGGAACGCCTTATGTGAAAATAGCAGAGCCATTCAGATTTATATTCATTGCCATCATCTTTTCAACCTTTTACAATGAAGAAGGAGTTACATACTCGATCGAAAGTGCTATTTTAATATTTTTTGGTTTGTCAAAAAACATTTCTTTTGATTTTTTTCGAGTTTCACTCCTGTTCTGTTGCAGTTTTGTTTTTAATGATAAATTTATTGCAGTGTTGTATATTATTCGAACTTCTATGTAGATACGATATCAATTTCATTTTATTTTGGAGAACACTGTGATAGATTTAAATTGATAATGACCCTTGAATTTTGATAGTTCTATGGAATATATCAGTGCACTGTTTTTATGGCATTCTATGTATTTCTGAACGTTTTATTCTCAAAGGCTGTTTTTCATTATTTTAGGAATCGATTTCGATTTTTTTGTATCATTTGCTTTATTATTACATTATGTGGAATAGGCTTTCTTGAAAATTTCGGAAATTTTCCAAAACTTTTCATAATGAATTATATTCCAGTTTCTGTAAAGTAAATGATCAGACATATACATGTAATCTCTCTGTGTTGTGAATACTTCAAATATTTTTAATTTGGGTACACTTCCATTTCACTTATCAAGTTACTCATTTTGTACACTTCGTTCAAGTCCCTCTTTCGTTTTCTTTTGTCGTTTTTATAGAGTAAATCATGTGTAGCATAATTTATAGTATATAGACAGTTGTGTGTTGTTTATGTGGGTTGGCAGGAAAAGTTTTATTCTCATTTGAATTTTACGAATTCCCATTTGAATTTTTTAAATGATTCTTATCCTGAATATCCGATATCCATCTTAAATCTCTTCATAAATGTCTCACTTCTAAATATTGGATAAATAAACAAGTATGCGAGCCTTTTATGAAATGAAAGTTTAGAATTGCAAACTGAAGAAAATAATTTGGAAATTTGTCGTGCACTTCCATTACATATTTCTTTATGTTGGAATAGTTGTTCTCGTTATCATATATCTCTGCTTTGCTATACTGTCCTCATTATTTAAATGCATTTTGCACATTGTATTTTGTAAATAAATGCATCTGTTCGCCTTTATTATTTTGCAAATTTCAAGTCATGAAAGGTTTCAGTACAAGCCCCGTTTAGGTAATTTAAGACATGACAAAGTTGTTTTGTAAAATAAAAAACGGGGTCAAAACGAAAAGTAGCAGGAAACCTGCCAAAAGTAGCAGGAAACTTCAGATAGGGACTAACACTGTTGGCAAAACTTATAACTCATGAGTCCTTTCCATTAAGGAATTTGAGCCAGGAAATGTTGGACGGTGGCGAAATACTTATTTTCAGTGGCTCTGAAGACTCAAACTTTAATGAAAGTTGAGTACGATGTAAATCTATATTTTACAGAAGGAATGCGCTTCTTCACTGGTTCTGTTTAAAACTCGTGCTTTCAGTTGATCGATTTCAGCTTGCATTCTTTTAATTTCGTTTTTCAATTCATTATTTTTGTTCACAAGGATTGTCAATTCCATTTCTGCTTCTTCTCTGAGCTCCTTTTGTCGTCTTCGGTAGCGTATCGCTGCTTTCTTGTTCTGAACAGTGCAGTATGCAGCAGATATTTTAAGAATAAATCAAATATGTGCCAAATCCGAACTGAAGTAAGCATCCAATAAAGGAACTCATCTTTCCAAAGCTGGAGTTTAAAATGGTTCCCTACTTTTTAAATTAGTTTTTTTTTACTGTTAAATGAGATTGTGACTCCATATTTTGCACATATTTGTCACCTACGTTTTTGTTAATGCCTTTTGAAAGATATAGGAGTTGAAGTATAAGAGGTCATCTTAAACCCATGCTATCGGAAACATGAGCAGTCCTGCAGCAGCAGCATCACGACGAGGTTGAAATGTTGAAGATAGGACTAAAAAAATTACTCCAGAGGATATTTCCTGATGTCAAGAACAAGTGATTTCAAAATTAGCTGTAATCAAAAGAATTATGTCTATGCCTCATTGTTGCATTTAACCTAATTGTTTGCTTTTACCACTGATAGATATAACACACGTAGTGTATTACAGCTCACTACTTACGTATTAATGAAAAATCTGCTTCAAATAAGAAGATATTCACTAATATTTTTGACCTTTCAACAAAACAAATACTACTCAAAATTTGGATTAATAAAGATAATATTTATATATTATTTAATTTTATACATATTAAATTTTATTTTTTATGAATTAAAAAATATATCTGCTAATTAATGCAACATTTCTCTCCCTCATCTTCCTTTTCATTCTTGATCTTTTATGACATGCATAATTTTCTTTATCTGAAGTCATTAGGTCTTCTGAAAGTTCGAAAAGCTTCCGTAGAGCTGCATACGATGATGACCCTGTGCTTTATAAAAAAATCTACCTGCAGTCTTTTACGTTTCAATATGTCTTCTGGTGAATTTGTTCCACTTTGGTCATTAAGAATTCCACTTTCCTTAACAGCTGCTACCAAGAGTTGAACTAAATCCTGTATTGTTTTCTTGTTACTATGCTCTGCTGAAAGGCGCGAATCTGGACTGCATGAATTTGTTGTAGTATCTATCAATTCGTTGGTAGAGCATCCTACCGATCGCATTTCAGCTGAATTTGACACTGTTGGAACCTATGATGGGAACACAATATTGGATGATGAGTAAGGATACCGAAAATATGTAAATTTCACCATTGATGTTTTTTTTGAATTCTGATTCAAATTCAAACTCGAGATTCAATTTCAATTTAAGGAACCTTTAAAAACCTTATTTTTTTCCAATTCAGCGCATTCGCAAACAATTTCATTGTATATTTCCTGCTTTGTGCGATATTTACGATTGTATGGAGTTAAATCGCTCAGTGCTGTGGTGCTGTTATTATTATGTATGCTGGTCGCTGAACCACTAACATCTTCATCTTTCACCGATCCTACTCTGCCTATAAGGTAGTTGCTATGTTGGAAACCACTATTGGTCAATCATTATACTAAAAATTCCGAAAAAAGCATTTTTACTTGTTCATGAAAATTATTCTGCAATTTTGTTTCAAAAAATGACATGGTTTTAAGCAAATTTTCTGACCTGTATTTTTTGCTTTACGGCCAAATCCAAGAATAGAACTGAATATAGATCTTTTTAGTAAGTCATCGGCGTCGAATGGATTCGTCATTCCTATAAATCATGAACACGTGCTTGAACCATCTTGCCTGTATAATAATCAAAAATTAAAAAAAAAAACTTTCTTTAAGGTAATAGCTAAATACAGCGATGAAGTACAGTAATATTGGTAATTCAGTGAAGTCATCTATAATCTCAAGTCTTTTAATGTAACCAATTCTGAATTATAGCAATCCATGAAGATATCAGAATAACAGACGGAATAATTTATATTCTGAACTTTTCTAAAAAATGCCCAATCAGTCCAGTTGACATTCAAACTATTAGCGTAATTGCTGATTGACAGTCCAGAATCTAGAATCTTTGATGACTCAGAATCCAGAATCTTTGATGAGAGCTGCAGATTTTGAGAGGAATTTTTCACCATCTCAACATTCATTGACAAATTTTTAGAAAAAATGAAAAAAGATGAGTAGGTAGCGCTTAATAGTTCAAAATTACGTAGAATGATTGTGATGACAATGAAAAAGGACAGTGCCAGCTTGTGTGATAACATGCGAAAGTAGAAAGCATAAGGGAGTGACTGTTCAGCTTACTTTTTTTACAAAAAAAAAAAAAACTTTGATTACTTTAGAACTTTCTATCATTTTTTGAAGAAAAGCAAAATAGTCAGTCAGTTTTGAGCATCTTAAAAACAAAAGAATTCAATCTTCAAAATATGAATAATTAATTAGTTCTAACTTTGAAATAAATAAAAATTATTCATTCATTCATAAATAATTAATGAAAATTCTTTTCGCTCAGAAATTAAAACGTATCATTTGTAATGAAATGAATAAAAATTTTAAACTTTAAGTGCTTTTTTTTCAAAAATTTTATATTTGTTTCAAAAAATAATTGCTTGATAGTTGCGATATCCCAGCAACAAATACACACACACACACACACACACACACACACACACACACACATGCAATACATACATATATAGTAGACATACACACATATATATATATATATACAAACACGTTTACTGGTTAAGCGGGTTACAGTGAAGTGATGGCGACCCATTTGCAGGGTGCATTAGCTGTTATGGATAGATGAAGATAAAAAATTAACGATAAGAAGTAGAAGCATGAAGAATTGTCCAGCACATCTTTTATCGAACAAATTTTGATTGCTTTAGGCTTTTCTACTCTTTTTTGGAAAAAAAGAACAGACAGCTTTCAATGAATATCTCTTTCAAATACTATCGATTCTTTCATATTTGTGAATGATATGAATAGAGCAAAAGTAATTCAGTAGAAATGGATTCTAAAAAATTGTATTCAGAATATTATGGTTGAATAACGAAAATTTCATTGAACAACAAAATATCATTCATCACTTTTAATGTATGTTAGTTATACAATAAATAAAGCAATATCCTTCAATAGAAAATGCGTGAATACGATCAATATTCTATTAATAAATTAAATTGAAATAGAATAACATTAAAAAAAGTTAGAAAAGGATGTGTTAGAAGTTGAAATAATGCTTTTTCTTTCATATCAATCAATCAATCAATCAATCAATCACTTTGCGGAATCATTGTCAATCGAGTTCGCTTTTCGTCTTTCATTCTCGATTTACAACAACAGTTCATCATAGAAAGCCTATCGGTAATCGTCGCATTATGCGCATAAATTGTCGATCGTTTTAATATAACGAACCTTATGAACGATACCCAAAAATTTCTGAAAATAAAACAAATTATTTCCAATTCCTAAATATAACTATTACAACAAAATTTTGGAAAAACTAATTGTTTTTATTTAAAAAAAAATTTTTGGCATTGCTTACATGTTTACAACTGCCTAACTTGAAGCCTCTTACGATTATTTATGAAGACAAATGTTTCCTACAAAATTTGATTAAAAAGACAAAAAAATTCAAGCAAAGATTTTGAAAGAGTTTAATTCAACAGAATTTCAAGTGTGATCGTGATTCAGTACTATATATGGAGCATGATCGCTGTAAACTGAGGAATTTTCCTGCATGTCAGTCGTGAGATTCTATGCCCAAATCATAATAAATTGTATGATTCGTCTTGTACACATTTATACATATATCATAGCTCCAATATATTAATAATTAAAAGAAAATGTAACCGATATTTGCAGCGCTCAACACCGTTATCTTATCCAGATTAACCCAACAGAACTTTGTTTATACCCAGATTTACAATTATAATAAAGTAGGAAAATTTAAGTGTGATAAGCGCATCGCCGGTCACTTAAGTCAAAAGACTAGAAGCATAAGATATGTATGATTTATAATTCAGCGGATCACTTCTCCGAAATTATTATTCAGTACTTATATTTGATGCTTCCACTGCAATGTGTTTAGGAGTTGTCGTAACATTGCATAATCTTAACATTTTATTAACCCATAGTTGAATGAAATTTATTATCATTATTGATTTGACGCAAATACAGTCCTTCCAAGTCCGAGCATTACAGTATTACACGTGAAATAATATCTTCCGAATGCGTGACTTCTTTAAAACTTTATTCATAACCAAACTTCCACTTCTTTTAAGCTATTACACAGTTTCAACGCATTCATACATTTATTTGAATAGCTAAAGGTCAACACATGAGGCGTGGCGTAGCGAAGAGTAAAGCACAGTAATTCAATGGCATGTGGTGGCTATTGCGGACTGCGGTGTAGTTGGGAGGACGGGATAAGGTGGAATTCTGGCCAGGCAAGAATGATAATAATGAATAGGCTTGAGAAATGAAGGATGTGAAGTTGATGGCATTAAAATACTGCGTACTGCTTAGTAAAAATTGTGCTGTATGAAGGGGGTTTCGAGTCAACTGTTCAAAGGATGAAACATTGTGTAGTTGCAGACTAAGCTTCTAATAAGCATCTAATGGAACATTACTTTGTAAACAAAAACTTTTCCTTTCTTTTTTGGTTTTGCTGATAGATAAAATTTTAATGTTATTTGTTAATAAAAGGAAGATGCCATTGATGGGGTGGAGGAGTCACTGATCATAGGGAAACTGAAAAAATCGGGTAGCATTTATAAAGTTATATTTTCTTTCCTACGTTACGTTAAAATGCTTTTCTTTCAGGCAGTACTAATAGATGAGAATAAGAAGTTAAGTTTTACAAGATGATGGCTGTGAGGGACCACAATTTGTCAAATGATGAAGTGATGAGATATAGCAGACAAATCCTGGTACAGGAATTCGGTGTTAAAGGTTAGACGTTTCACTTCATTGCGTAGACTTGATTAAATATTAGTATGGTACGTTGTAAATGTACTTGTGATCACTGTTCACTGTGTAAGTATGTTCATTTGCTAGATTCCCTCTTGAATTTATTTCTGTAGAAGTTCTTTAAGTGACTAATTTATTTGTATTTTAGAGCACTGTATACTTGTATAGATAGTTTTCCTGTACAAAATATCTTTTTTTAATATTTTTGAAAGTTAGTAAAGACTTTTCCCTTCAGGTCAAGAAAGGCTTCGTGCCACTTCATTATTGATTGTTGGTGCTGGCGGTCTGGGATGTCCCGTTGCGCTTTATTGCGCGGGAGCTGGTAATAAATTTGTCAAGTTGCTTTTCCGTGATTTAATTTTTACTTACTTGTAATAATTATAAATTTTGAGGAGTTGGTCGAATTGGTATTATGGATAGTGACTACATTTCTTCCGACAATCTTCACCGTCAGATTGCATATGATGAACGCTCTTTAGGCCAGTCAAAAGCAGAATCGATAAAATCATCAATAGAAAGGTATGGTAGAAGGTCGCAATTTTTATAATACTGAGTTGGAACCAGGTTCATTGTCATGTCGAACTTTGTCCAAAAGAACGTAATTTCTTGATTTTTATCTCTCTATTTTCCTTTATTTAATTTGTTTAGTTAAAATAATAAAATTTTTGGATTTCATCGAATTTTTAAGGTTGAATAGCAATGTTCTCATTGATGTGTATAAAGATTATCTATTTAAACACAATGCGCAACACATTATTTCCAAGTATGATATTGTCGCCGATTGTACGGACAACGTCCCCGCAAGTTGCGTGCTTTTCCAGTTTCTTTTTAAAAACTCCTGAAATCGAAGGATTGTAGTCTGAGATTTGTCACTACAAATTTAATTTGGAAGTTGAACCTCAAATTTAAAGACCGTTACAACTGTATTGAACAAGCCATTTAAGTTTTATAACAATCTTAGGGCAGTATTAATTATAATTCTCATTTCTGATTACTTCTAGGTATTTGATCAATGATGCTTGTATACTGGCGAACAAACCTTTGGTATCAGGAAGTGTTGTTCGTTGGGATGGTCAGTTGTCGGTGTACGGTTATGGCAAGGTAAGGCTATGCTTGAGTTGATTTTTCAGATTGCCAATATTATTAAATTTAAGCGAAGAATGGTATTAATGGTCTGAAGATAAATTTTTCCTTTTCATATATAGAGTGAAACAAAGTTTGAAAAATAATATTTGAAAATTTGTTTTAAGGATTGTCCATGTTACCGCTGTATATTTCCTGATCCTCCTCCAATGGATGCTGTAACAAACTGTTCTGACAACGGAGTGCTGGGACCAGTAGTTGGTGTAATTGGCAGTATGCAAGCTAATGAAATCATCAAAATTGCTGCGATTAAAAAATGTAAGTTTTTTTAATTTTGAAAGTCCATTCAAGTAGCTGTAAGCTTCTGTTCTGTTACATTAGTGTTTATGATGCTATTGCTCTTGCTAATGTTAATCTTTTCAATGTAATGACATTCTTGTTAGCTTTGTTTATCGGTTTATTTCCGGCTCCTTTGCTGGTTTCTTATATTTGTTCGATGCTTTTAATGGTAAAGCAAAAACTATCAAGTTGAGGCGGCAAAAAGCTAACTGTGCGGTATGCGGTAAAAACGCGACGATCACTGAACTTGGAGACTGCAAAGAATTATATGGATGTTCAATCAGAATATATGTAAAAGTTTTAGTCAAAAAAAATTATCTCGAAAAGATATATATAACAATGGATTTGTTGGGATTTTGATATCTATCTGATTTAATTTTCTGTTGAGTAGAGCGCCCTTGCTCTATTCAATAAAGGAGAAAACTAATGAGACGAAGGAAGGATAGAAAAAACAATTTCAGTTTTTTAAACACTTATCTGCAGCATTAACTATTCTGTAGTAATGTCAGCTACCATTTGTTGGAAAGTGAATGATGGATTTAGAGTCTTTATACGTTACTTCATATTTCAATAAGACATTTATGTTTAAGAACAGAAGAAATTTTTCTTCTACTTAAAACATTGCGTAAATTATTTAACGAATAAAAATAAAATAATGCATGAAAAACTGGGTAATTGAGGTCATGTCATTAAACGAATCGATAGAAGTGCAGACTTATTAAGCCAATTATTTTCACATAAATGTGTTATTTAAGAAGCAGCATTGCTGCGGTATATATCAATTCAAATTAAAACAAATGCAAGTTGCTATGTCATCTAAGGCTTTATTTCAGAACAAGCTTCTGGCAACAAGCGACCGTGTCCATCCGTATTTTTATTTTAAGCTCAGTGAAAACAATGACAAGAAGCAGCTATTGATAGATACAAGACCGCCGCACGAGTTTAGCATTGGGCATCTACCTAATGCCATTAGTAACTTCATTACATCTCTTTTGGCGTTTTTTATTATATTGAACATTCTTTGTAAAGATTGATACTTCTACAATTAAATCATATTACTGTCGTTTTCTTATGACTTTTGTAAGTTAAATCTTGCTTCAGATATACCAATGGTAAGGCTTTGTCTTTCAAGTTCAGCAGATATAGTGCGCGAGCTAGGAACAGATGTCAATGAAATGAGAGATAAGGGAGGTTAGTTCCTAAGTTTCGAACAGAAATTTCTTTCCTTTTTTCACTTTTTCAACTTCCCATTGTGTTAATTTCCATTAAAAAGAATCCTTATATTTCTGAAATGTTCAGAAATGATGTGTACCATCAAAGCTGGTTGTTTCTGTGAAGTTATATGAATTGATTGTTGCTCATTTTAAGGCTACAGAGATACGAAGTAATTTTTTGTGTAGATACTCCAATAGTTTTTTGAATAAAAGAAATACAAGTTGGAAGTACGTTAATCTCGTATTTTTATGAATTTTATACACTTGAGGTCAGGATAGAATTCCCAGGTTCCAGGAAAAAAATATTTTCTTAATATCAGGAGAGAACAGGAGTGAATATGAACAGCTAAGCCTTAATTTGAAGAACGCTGAAGTTGCATGAAATATTTTGAATGATGAGGATGAAGGAAGTGGTGATTGCTTTCATCTTTATTCATAACCTGCCGAATAGTTATTTCATGGGCCTGAATCAGGTCGATGAAAATGTATTTCGCTTTCCGATCTATTTCATTAATTTGCCTCGTTTGTTTACAGTTTATGTGATTTGTCGTAGAGGTGAAGATTCGCAGCTAGCAGTACTATATTTACGTAAAGAATTTGCGGATTCCTTGATTTCCATCAAAGATATAGACGGCGGTTATGAGAAATGGTCTCACGCTGTTGATAAGAATTTCCCTATTTATTAAAACAAATAATTTGTTCTCGTAAGTTTGTATTGAATTCCTAAATTCCATAGTTTTAGCAAACTTCCGCATCATTGTTGTTTGAAAGTCGCTTAAATACCTTGCCGGTTAAACTTGATGACTTATTCCTCCTTAGGAATGATGTGGATTTAGTTGATAAAATTAGGAAGCGAATTGAGTGAATAAATTCTTGTAACGTTTTTCTTTTTACTGTGTTCACAATTGGTAATTATGAACAAGTAATTACTTTATAGGCAGAGTACATTTTAGTGTTTGTCCGTCCATCATTATTGACTCTACTGACATACACTGCCAATATTTCTAGTAGTTTTTCTAAATAGTTATTTCTCTTCTTCTTACTTGAAAATTTAACTTTATGTCAAAAAAATTTTAACTCTATGTCAGTCGAGATAACTTGTTTGTTTTTCTTTTTGTTGGTTGAATTTGTTGTCGTGCAATTCATGCCCTTAATAAATGCATTGAGATTCTTTACATCAAGTACATTAAGGATTAATTCAAATAATCAGAAATATTTTGCAGGATTAACATGGCTATTTGGTCAATACTTGTGATATGTAACAGTACTGAACCTGAACAAATTACGTTAAAGCGGTCCTTGATGTAATCTCACGAGCCATCACAGTTAATCTATGGTCGCAGTAGATTGTCAACCCTCCAGTTCGCTTGTTGTTGGTATATGATGTAACACTGTTCATCCGTTATCGCATCACAAAAGAAGAGATTCTTGGTCCTGTTTAACATAGCTGTGGACCATATTTGATGAATTTGTTCAAAAGTTGTGGAAAATTATTTTTCGCAGTTTGTCTGCAAGAATGTAATGTTGCGGAGGTGATAATGGGAGGGAAGGAAGTGGAATGTAGTGGGAATTATGCAATAAAGTCTATTTGATTATCTTGAGTTCTTTCATTTGGAATTTTGGCAAACAAATGTAATTACATCGTAGTAACTATTACTCGCTTTAATTTCATATCAATTTATTGCTTTTAACAATGCACAAATTGAGCAGATAGGAATGAATAGTGATGATATGATAATGCAATTGACTCAGCACTTCTTCAAATCGGAATGGTTACAATCAGTGAACTCAAAGATGATTATATTGCGAGTGATGAAATATCACAATTGGAAATGTTGAATTTGAACATTTGGCATGCTAATAAAACGCATTCCTTAACATTTCCATCTTTCCGTCATGATTAAATGTTCTGAAGTAAGCCGCAATTCGGACACAAATTTATGCAACGCATGGAAACTGTGTTGTAGTAAATTACATTCCTCGTACCTTACTGAACCATTTTGCATTATAGGCATAACTTTTCTCAAGCAATTGAATTCATCAACTTATCAATCTCTATAAAGCGTTACATTCTCAAACTTTAACAACGAATCAAGTAAGATACAAAGTTCAAATGTGGAAACATTTGTGTATACATACAGTGCATATTATTATTTGTTGACAGTATGTGCTGGGGTGGGTTGTACAGAAGAATGTAGATATTGATTTTTCCGGCTAACACTGCAAGAAAATGAAAGCTGCATTATTAGCTTGTAGTAGTAGACTTCAGTAAATAGTTCACTGTCTCCATCAGTCATATTTTTCTACTCACGCAAGTAGTGATATTTGTTTTATCTTGTAGTTGTACTTATGTTAGCAAGTATTTCACAACTTCATGTCCGGTAGTAGTGAGGTTTACGAACATTGTCGTAAATACAGTAATTTACCAAAGTGGTGATTTAAAGATTCCAAAGTGGTGATTTCAACGATATAAACATTTGGGAGTTGTCAGCTATCGATGATTTGAAAACTTGGATTTCATTTGATGTTTACCTTGAAGCCAGCTCAGAAAATCTCGACTTTGCGGAAGATTCTCAATGATCTCTATATTTTCACTATGGTGAAATGGTAGCATAAGTAAAAATTATTCTGACTGCGATTTTGTAGTCATGTTGATGTTTGTATTAACTCAGACGAACCTCACAAAGTTGTCATATAAACCTAGAGTGATACATTATTCTAAAAGCAACATCCGAATTGCTTTTAGGTTTTTAAGCACTACATGGGTATTGTTGAGGGTACCGAAGTGTTACCAATGCGGATTAGACGTAAGGCATGGAAAGAAATTTCTAAATGATTTTTATTAAAACACATAGGTTATACGTCATACCTGCCGTCTGTGATTCCAATAATTATGAACATTTTATGCTTCCTAATTGTTAATTTCCAGGAATTGATGGTTTTGTTACTGGTATGTATTATCGCCAAATAATCTTCAACGAGAAAAGAGAAGAAAATTGTTTTATTAATTTGCGGAAATATACTATAAATTAAAGAAATCAAAGTAAAACATTGGTAATCTCATTTCTTACAACTTCAAGTAAAACTAGTGATGTTGTAATGGGTGGATCCATGTTGAATTAGAAAAATATGAAATCCTCTATGCATCACTCATCGATAGAATTAACTCATCAACATTGTTTTGAAGCAGAAAAGGATCATAACGTCAGCGCTCTGATTTTTCCCGTGTGCTCTGCTCTTTTTCAATTTATACAAACTCATTCAGAATAAAATATTTTATCTCGAAGTTAATTCATCAATTGTAGATGATTGGGAATGTATTCAATGTATAGTACCCTATTTCGAAATTTGAAAAACTCCATCAATCTAGTATGTATGTTCGGAAGATAGGTGTGCTGGGCATGTCGTTACGTAATTTATGACAAATTTGTACATTGATCAAAGCATTATGGATGTTTCACAAATAGTCGAAAAAAAGAAAACGAAAGAAGCGAAAAAGTGGTTGAAGAATGTGTGATCAGCAATCCATTACTAAAATAGTGGGAGCTGTGAATACTGACAACTGATGGTCAATATTTTCGCGCATTCTCATCAGTGTTGTTAATGCATGCTGTGTGCAACTGTCTGCTTCAACGAATGGAGTAATAGCTCTTTAGGCGGTGATATCAAAAAATCTTCAGGGCGAGCGACAGCGGAATGGATGATAGGACCAAACGGGCACGGACTTATGATGATGACCCCTCCTTGGAAGCGATTGACATGGACGCATGCCATGTAACTCTTACTGCAGGCGTCGGCTGTGAAGTAGTAGGAAACTTTAGCTTAGAAATCGTCCGACAGCATGCATTCCTTTCCTCAATTAGGAAACTCGACAAATATTGTCATGAGCTGTTTCAAGTCTGATAACCGATAAATACGATCCATTCTTTACCCGAAAAAGGCAAGAAACATAACGAGGGAACGACGATCATTTAATGATTAAAGGAATTGGTGAAGTACCACTTCTGTTTCATCCGGATCCTCCATCTTCCGCATCTGCTCCTTTCCGTCCTTTTCCTTCTCCTTTCTGCCTTTCATGAAGATTCAAGTGCGCATTTCAATAACATTTCCTTCGCTTTTGTTAATCATTCTTTTATTAAATAACTTTCAATGATCCCATCTTTTTGCTTTATTTCTTTTCAAAAGTGAGATAAAGCAGTAATTCTCTTCAAAGGAGAGAATGACTGCTTCATCCCACTTTTGTCAACTATTGAAATACTAGGTTTTATCGCAGTTTTCTAGATTTTAAAACTCACAGTGTAAGGTCTTACAGAAATACTCACTAATATATGCCAATCGATAACGTTGTATGTTATTCTTTAAAAGAAGAGAAAGAGGAGGAAGTGTATGTCAATAGTACGTTGCATTAATGTTTTGCTTTTTATTCTCGGCTATACCTATTTTTCAAGCATTTCAATCACTGCAATGTAATATTTTCTGTTTTTATTCCTTTTTTTAACAGACCAGCGATTTGTTGTTTTTTTTCTAATTTTATCATATTACTCATTCCGGAGGAAGATTTACGGGCTCACCTCATTTTCACCTGTATGTATTTATAATTATCACAGTGCGGTCGAAACTTATCTTTGTGGAGTAGTAATATGTCATAGTAACATTAAAAATAATGTTCTGAGAACTGGACAACTCATTTCAATTCTCCCGTCAGTTGGACTAATGATAAAAACCCAGCACGTGGCGATTTTTCAGCTTGTTCGAAACATCCAAGAATGTATTCATATATGCTTCAGTAATATACGATCGTTATTACTCCCGGATTGTGATAGGATGTCCGGGCGGGTTATGAGCTAATACTTGAAAGGTCTGTAAATTTAGATTATACATGAAGGAAAGTAACATTGAATGAAAAAGAGTAGGAAATGTGGACCATGTAATTTTTCGAAAATTTACCTCTTTTTTTGTGAATAAAACTTCATTGACTGTTGGAACTACGTTACCCTTACATGCTCAGTGATCTTTGCTTCCTTTTTTCTAAGAATCCGCTTACTTTAGTGGGCGAACTATGGGTAATGAGCCTTTCATTTAGACAAAGGTTAAAAGTGGTCTGCTAGATACGCTCTTCGGAGGGATGTCATTGCAGACGTTGAGCTGTTGTTAAATCGTGATGTATTTATTGGCGGTGAAAGGGAGGGAGAGGTCACTATCTTTCATTCGGTTTGTAAATTTATTTCATATATTTGCTCTTATTTGTGTTTCCACTCCATTTATAGCGCGCAACTTTAAATATACCACAACTTTTTTGTTGATAAATCATTTGCTCCAATATGTTTCAGATGGAACCCATTCCGGAGGAAGATCATGAGCTCACCTCATTTTCTCCCGCACATACTGTCAAGCACGAAAAGAAGTCTCGGCTTACAGAAGTGTATACATCAGAACAAGTAGACACTCTTGTAAGGTATGCTTCATTTCAGTAAAGCGTGGATTCAAGTTAGATCAAGTGATATAATTCACTAACTGATCAGGTTGTAAGCCACTTCCTGAGAAATCTGGAATATCATCGCAGTAAAAAATCTTTTAATATTTCTTGGCATTTATAATACTACGGAATTGGACACTTTTTTTTCTTTTCGAATTTTCAAGTAGTAAATGTTGCAGCACAGTACCTCAGTCAGCAGTAGCAGATACA